ACTCCGCGGGGAGCGTGTCTTTCGCCGACGATTGCGGTTCTCTGAAATAAGCCGAAGCGCCCGATTGGATCGTCGCGAGCGAATGCCCAAGGCTTCGTTAAACTCGCGACGCGGCCCGAAGGCGAAGCGCGTACATATGAATCCCGGGTGGGCCGCGTAGCGCCCGGCAATCCGAGTCGATGCGGCGCGAGCTGCCGACGATCGGCGCCGCGGAAAAGGGTGCGCGCGAGCCTGAGCTCCGTTCGGGGAAATTAGTTGCGGGTCTTTGTCCGGAGACCCTCGGCGCGCGAGCAAACTTTAATAATAACGCCGCGGCAGAGCCGGAGATGGAAGCCCGAGGTAATTTCCGGCGAGGCTGGAGATGGCGGCGCTACGCCGCTTAGCCGAAAGACGGCGAGGCAGCTGGAGTAGCTTCTTCGATGTGTACATAGTTTTGCCACTCTGCTCCCCGATAAGCGCTTATGCGCGCGCGAGTGATTTGCGAGCTCGCGCCACTGAAAATGGATCTCTCTCTCTCTCTCTCTCTCTCACTCTCTCGAGTCGCTGTCGAAGCGAGAGAGGAGTTCGACGGTGTTCGCAGATACGCGATCAGCGGGAATAGCAGCGAAAAGCGCGACGTTAATTCTCGCACCAGCTGGCTTAGTCTTCGAGGTCCATCGCCTCTTTTTTTTCCACAGTGGCACGCGGCACCATCGGCATTAGTAGAGCGATAAATCCGTCCTCCGTTCTTGGGAAAAGTCATTTCCTCGCGGGCGGCTCGAGGGAGGTAATAAAGCCATCTTGCTTTCTCTGGCGCTCGCGAGGGGATAGCGATCTATACGCGCCGCTGGCTGTGCTGGTAGTGGCGCACCCTTCGCGGTAACCAAGGCAACGCTTTTCTCTCGAACCCCTTCTACCCTTATCTTTCTCTCTCTCTCTCTCTCTCTCGGCCTCCTCCGGGATTGACGCTGCTGTAGCTACTGAGAGAGAGAGAGAGAGAGAGAGAGAAAGAGAGAATTTTTTCGCAGATAACGCTGATAGATGGCCTAACTCGTGCTGTGCACGCAGGCGCGTGATTCTTTTTTTCTTCCTCGATCACGGCGATTCTGAATTTTTCATAGCGCGGATGTTAGCAGGTCGCGCACGCCGCCCGTGAGCGAGGAAGCGGGGAACCGAGGTGCTCCTGAAGCTCTCATTGCGACGGGCACGAGCTTGCGACGAGCGCGAGGCTGTGGGTTTTCAACGCGAGCCGCGGTTTACGCCGTTGTTGCGACGAGCTCTTCGCCGCGCGATTCGGTTCGCGGAGGATCACGGCCTTTCGAAATTCTCGCGGGCGCGAGCTAATTGGAACGAATGAGCAAAAAGCACGCGGTTCTCGTCGAGCTATTTACGTGAAATGGAATCGGTTTTGCGGCGAAACTTGGAGTTTTCGAACGACACGAGGGAACGTACCGCTCAGTACAGCGGTCCAACGCGTAAAAGCGCGACACTGTATTTTTCCCAAGCTATCGCCGACTTTTCAAGATTCTTTTTTCCAGAACGTATCTTGTCGGAAGCTGCAGTATCGATGTAATCGCAAAACAGAGAGGCATCGAAGCACTTCAGGAATGTCAGCGTGCACATCGCTTCACATCGAATAAGCACCGGCCTGGGCAGCGAAGGCGAACGAGCTTGTTCTTTTTCTTCGCCTCGTTCGCAGTACACCAGTGGCAGTGAAACGCTTAACGAGCGAGCGTGACACGTTGGTCCATCTAGCGGCGATGCTGCGCGCCTGCAATCGAACGAACGTTTGCCAACCGGCCGATGCTTTCGATGGCCCGCGCGTCCAGAAGACTCGGTGATCCAAGCGTGATCATCGATAGCGTGAAATCGAGACCCGGGCGTGCATCGATCGGTCCGCCCGCGACCCTCGAGCGCGCAAACACCGAGCCACCGTGGCGATGCAGTGCGCGCATCGCCGCCTCCGCGAGAACCCATCGGGTCGCGCACAAAGACGCGTCGCAGCCGAGCAGCAGAGTCAAGTAGGTGTTGACTACCGATAGCGAGCGCACAGGTGTGCCGTACACGAGGGCAACGCAGCGGCATTCCGAGCGGGTTATCGCGGCAGATCGCGCGAGGGTTGCAGCAGCAGAAGATGAAGGCAGTGCTTTGTGCTCTCGCTCTCTCTCTCTCTCGCGCGCGCGCGCGAGAGAGAAGAGGGATATCGCTTAGCAGAAATCGCGACTCCTCCGACGGTGGGTGGCTGCGACTGTGTGTACCGGGAACTTCATTAAAATGTAGCGGCCATCAGCGGCCACTCGTCGCTCCGAGTGCTCGGGGCACGCTAGCTTCCTTCTTTTTCGTTCGGTTTCGAGGGGGCGAATAAGCGAGATCGCTTTATCTCCTCGCTGCCCTTTTGCCGAACTCATTCGCGAGCGAGCGCCGCGAGTTCGATCGTTCTGGCCGAAGGCGTCCTCGCGGGCCCGAACGAGATCCGCTCGTGAATCATCGCGCCGCAGCGACACATCGGCACGACGGTCAACGACACGCGCGCGGCCTCGTAAATCATCAGAATTGAGCGAAAAGCGCGCGCCGCGGGGAGGACCACTCACGTCGTACGAGGAAGCTACTCTCGCTCGTGCTCGGGCGTGCAATTGAGCTTGTCTAGAAAAGGGCCTTTTAAATGACTTACGAGGCGCCGACGTGCCGACTTTTAACTCATCCTCGTTTCTCGCCCGCGCGCGCGCGCGCGCGCGCGCACGCGGCACTCTTTATACGGGCGGTAACTGGAGACATGTGTTCCTCTCGGCGGAGACGGCTTCTTTTTTACACCGCGTCTACGGGCATTTCTCTCCCTCTCTCATTCCTTTTTTTTACGATCGCATGCTGCGAGATGTCTGCTTACCAAAAACTGATTCGCCAGTCGAATCCGGAGATCATATCTACGAATCTACGAAAAAGAGCAGTTGCGATCGGCCGTTCCGAGGCGACAAATTTGATTTCGACGTTGCACAATCTAATCTGGCCTATCGTTCATCTTTAATATCGGGCAATGATAAGCCAAGAATAATCGGGCGAAAATTGATTTCTGATAACGATCAGACACGCGTAATCGCGACTCGTTGCCAATGCGCATTCGTTGCGATGAGATCAGCGCCGCGCCGATCATCCGCTTTATTTCGCGTAATTACTTTCCACCGGCGGAATGCGGCGCAACCTTATCGGCTTTGATACACTTACACGACGATCGAGTGCGCGCATCGCGATTAAGACACGTCGAGTGAAATTGATGCCAACTGCTAATTTTTATCGCGATCGTATCTCGCGCGGCTGCCGACGGACGTGTCTCGCGCGCCTCGGAAATTGTTAATCGCGTTGATGGATTATTGTCGCAAATAGCGATCTCGATCGACAACCGTATTTCCATCTGAGACGTTTACTGTCTTGAATGAAATCAAACGACCGACGATTCGATAATCCTGGTGGCACTCGAAACAACCCCCTGACTCAAGGTGTTCCACCTCGTCGGTCTCAGTAACGCCAGGCGTTTTACGCTCGATCGGGACCTCCTTCGAGAGCACTGTCTCTCTCTCTCTCTCTCTCTCTCTCTTAGCCCATAAATATCCGAAAAGGTGCTCCCGAGCGCGGAGAAAAGTCCCTTCTGTGAAGAAGACGTCTCCTCTCGCGCTAAGCGCAGAGAGCGTCGCGCGCTTTTACGAGCCACTCTCCTCGTCGCGCCGACAACAAAGACGGCCTCTTTTTCTACCTTTCGCGTGTGTCGTCCTTTTTTTTTCCTGCCTCTCTTTTGTCAGTGTCGCTCGGGGACTTAGGACGATTAGTGATTTATGAAAACAAGTAAATGCGTATACAGATACGCCTTTGTCAGAAATCGCCTTTTTTCACTCGAGAAGGGTGGGTGTGTTTACGGACTTTTTATCGGCCTCGATGTGTCTTCTTTTTCTCTTGGAAGGATTTTGATTGAGTACGCTGCCATGAAGTGATCTCGTCGTAGTTATTGGAGCCTCGAACGTTGGCTCTGGCAGCATGTGCTTGTTAACTAAAGAACATTTTCATAAAGCAGCGGTAATCACAAATGCACGTTCTTGAAATGCCCCAATTGTAATCAATCCGAACGTTATACCTTGAAGCTTCGATGTATGTGAACAGCAAAACGACTGCTGGCACTGAATCGCAGGTCGGCGCGACGATCCGAGAGCAGCTTGATTAATCAATCAGTGCGCAGAGACATCAGCCTGACGACGCGCGCGAGAAGAGAGGGCCAAGCACAGACGCACACGCGTTTCCGCTCGTCACTTCCAGCTCGCCAAGCGCTCGGCATCGCAAATTGTTTATACATTCTCTCCGCGAGCGTCAGCCTCGGACGGCAGCAGGCCGAATAAATTTCACAGGCGAAAGGAGAGCGCGACGCATGATTCCGGATAGGCCCCGCCGCTCGAATTCTGGCGTGTATCGCGCGAGACAGCCGGCCGAGAGGCAGATAGCCTCTTCAATAATTTATGAGAGACGCGCTCTGCTTGTAATTAGCGCGGAAGTGCAAGCCAGAGCACATCGGCTAATCTGATTGCGCGTCGCTCGGACTTTATCGAATTATCCACGCGTGCGGACACTGCCGAAGAAGCTGCCACGGCTCCGTTGCTCGACACGTAGGCGCGCCGCTAACGCTTTTCAACGTTCGCACCGTGCCGTTCTGACGGAAAAATATTGCGTCCTACTTTGTTATCGCGCGCAAAGGTGTACGATATTCGCAGCTGTATGTGAGCACGCACGTGTAAGGGCTTGCGACTGCGAGCGCTAATGTATTTGCAAATGAATTTGGACATCGATTTTCCATAATATTGATCGATGAAAATAGCAAAAATAATTAGACCTTTCTCGTAATATAACATTTCTACGTTCTTCGATATCTACGGAGTTCATTCGACTTCATCATTTCTTCTGTTGGTAACGTAGAAAGTTTCAAGCAAACGCTATGTATATATAGCTGGCAAGTGACAAACGCATTATCGCTATCGAACTGGCGACTTGCATAGTTGCATTGTTTACAGGCTGCATTTCATTTCTGTTTTGCGTCATATACAACATTGAATTATTGAAAATACAGCAGTAAATCTATCGGTATCATCGCTTATCTTAATATTGAGCATTTAATCAATTGTATTTCAAAATATCTCAACACTAAGGTTGTTTCAAGTAACATAACCTATTACAATAACTAATTATACGTCAAAATAATAAAAGTATACAATTATAATAATAGAAGATGGCAACTGAATATCCTTCAGAGAAGATTAAATACATTAATCCTGTGAGAATTTCCCATACTTATCCAGCATTTGCAAGTGATGAGGAAGTGGAAGCAGCAAATCAAATAAATGTTTGGCATAAATTTATTTTGTTTGATGTGAGAAAAGAGCAAAAGGAGATGGTGCTAGATAGATTCATAGAAATATGCTCTCCAGTATTTTTCATTCCAGTCAAGTACACACAAGAAAGTGAAACCAAAGCAACATTTTTATCATTTTGTCGTTCACAAACTATTCAAAAACTAGCCTTGCAAAAGCTTCAATTCAAATTGAAGAATGGAAAAACTATTTACTATGACATTGTGCTTTCTTTTCTTTCCTTCAATGATATGCAACTGAATCCACAAGCAATCATAAGTGAAGCTATAAAATCACGTTTCATCAAAGATATAGCTATTAAGAACTTCTGTAAAACTTTTAATCTAGAAAATTTTTCAAACGATCCGCTGTTTACGTCAATTTACTGCCCAATTCACATTCCAATAATGTTTGATGCTATTTTACGATTTTCAAAATCAGTGGCCTGTGGTAATAATACCAGAGATAAGCTTCCAGTCAAAGATTTGATTTTGAGAAATAACAATCTGGATACCTTACTCTTCAGTGAAAAAATCTTCAGCTATCATCTCACTAAACTTGATGTTCGGGACAATAAATTGCGTGACATCAACTTGCTAAGGCCATTTGCTGAGTACAAGATTATAGAACTTTGGCTTGATGGTAATCCATTATGTGACGAGTATGAATCAGTCAAAGATTATGTTACAGCTGTTAAATCAATCTTTCCTAGTGTGCAAATTCTTGATGGCCAAAGTATTGGAATGGAACAAAGATACATGCCATCTTTCCATAAACATTTCATAGGTGACAGAAATAAAATATCTCTCATCAAACAGTTTGTTCAACATTTCTTTACCTGCTATGATCAAGATGATAGAATCGTATTGAACGGGTTATACGATGCCACAGCAATATTTTCTATGACAGTTGGTCAAATAACTGACAATAGTCACAAGGAGCTTATCAAATCTTTTGCTACTAACAGGAATTTACTAAAATTTGTTGACTATGCCAAATGCACTGAATTCCTTCTGTATGGCCCAGAAAAGATCATTTCTATACTAAGACAGGAGCCACCAACATTACATAAATTAAGCTTATTAGACATTGATGTACTTCATCATACTAGCAATCACTTTTCACTATCTGTTCAAGGACCATTTATTTACAGGAAAACCAAAGCTTCACCACTGTGGTTTCATAGAACATTAATTGTTATAGCCAAGCAAGACAATGAATATTGCATTGTTAATGATCAATATCACATAGATAATTGTCCTACAAGTTTCACAGATTTTAGAAATCTATATATCAATAGTGGAAATGTCGTTCCTGTGTACAAGCCACTGTCATTTAGCAATGGCGAAAAATTTCAATTACAAAAGTGTTTGCAAGAACTAACTACAATGAACCCTGAATATTCAGATAAATGTTTAAAAGAAGCGAATTATGATTTACATCGTGCAATTAGAAATTTTATGACCAACTACACAAATAACAAAATACCACTTGAAGCTTTTCGTTGGTAAAGAAATTTTTTAACAATTATACATTTGTAAATATGTATAGTTCTAAGTGCATTTATATCTTTTATATAGTTATGAGTAAAATAATTGATATACAAAATAATAATTATAAATTTATTCTCCATATAACCGATTTCTCTTATAAAACATGACAATCTTAAAAATTAACAGCCTTTTTGCGTGTTCAGCAGGGTTACACTTTTGTTTATATAAGGTATCGTATTTACATTTGAGTTAACTCCTAGTTCAAAAACTTTCTGCATTAGAGGCAGCGCATACTCTGATAAAGAAAATAATCGCAATTAATTATAAATCATTTGTTGTCTTTTTAAAGAACAAAAAACATACATACCTTGCATACATAGTACATAGTCGGGCAATTTATCCAACGCAGACATGAGTATGTCAGCCCGAGAACTATCAAGGCATCTTTGGAATGCCGAGAGAACACCGAAATTTGGGTACGGTTTTTGTTTCAGTGCCCTTGCTATTAGTGAATGTGCCAATATTCTTATGTTTCCTTGTGGTGATACTAGTAAATCGGCAATGTTATCCACAATGGGTTCTAAGACCGACGGTTTTCGCGAAGATAGATGCTCAATTTCTTGTAGTGCACTGTAAACGTCTGTTAGAAAATGCATATTAATAATAACATTTTCCATAAATAATGAACAGTAATCAAAATTGCAAGTACCGTCGCCTTGAATTTTGGTAAGTGTCGTGAGTAAACTTGACCAATCCGATAACATAGGTGTTGATATACTTTGGTGGAAATTGACAGACACTATAACACTGTCAGGGTTCTCACCTTCTCTTGGAATAGGGATTCCTGCGACTAGAGATCGTAAACTTTCAAGTCCAAGGTAATGCCCTTGCAAGTCACTGAAATAATAACTATGTATTAATATTCTTTCTATAAATTAAAGGTATTTGCATTATTGTATTACATACTGTAAGATGTGAGCATGTCTCTGTAGATATCTTAAAGCATGCTGTTCGTCGTGAACTACATAAGCTTGCAACAACAATGCAAATCTGTTCAGGAGAGACGTAAGATCGTCAATATTGCTAAAATTCTGAAAACACAAATAATATATTACTATAGACGCGTTAAAATCACAGAATATATATAAGCAGTGCAGTAAAGCATAAGGTGTTGTAACTTTTCATCGACAAAAGTCACACTCGCCCAAACTGCTCGTGAAATAAATAATTAATAAACAAAACACATACGTTCCGGTTTAACCTGTTGCAAGCTTTCCACTCCAAGTTTACCTGAAAGCACTGGAAGAAATTTTCCAATGTGTCTTCCAGACCTCGTTTATGTTCCTCGTTGAACAGGTGTGGTTGTAACAACTCTAACAAACCCATTACTTGCGTGTAAAGGTTGAGATGGTGGTTCGATCTGAACTGACTGAATTCTGTATCACACAAGCCTGTCAACGAGGATGCAAGAAGAGGCAGCTGACGAAGAACTAAAAGTGGATGAACTGCTGCCATTTTCCGCGCACATAACTCCAGTTCGCGAGATTTGGCGCTATAAGATTTCTGTCTGGGTAGTGTAGCTAAAGAAGTTAAAAGCGTGTGGCTCATACAGTCTAGCACTGATCTTGTCCAGTCTGATATGTGAGCTTTGTTCACCATTTTCTTTGACTGCGACGCGCTTAGATAGTAAATTATCTTGGGCACTTTCATGTACAAGTGCAGAAGGAATTGATGGGCCATGTCCGAGTGAATGCTGAAATTTATTACAGTAATCAGCATCAAATTTGTATATTTATTTTGTATCTTCTATACTCACTCATTACGACCCGACATCTGTTCCGCCAAATACTTGACAACGCTCATTGTAAGCTCATCTTCCGACGAAATACAACAAAGGAGCAAATCTAATCTTGTCTCCATCTGCGTGACAGCGGCTTGGCGATTCTGTCGTTCACACAAAATCACCGCCTCCTCAATCAAATACATTACGAGAACAAGCAACTGATCACTCGTCAAGAGTAAAATATTTTCTGGTATATCGTTCTTTGTCGAGTATTTTTCTCTACCTTGCCACAGCTTTGGGTTACATGTCAATGCCCAGAGGAAATCTAAAACTGCAGTGGGGTCGTAGCTGCGCGAATCGAAATTGAATTTGAGGTGAAAAATTAAAATAATTTATTTGCAGCTAAAATGTACTTACTTGTCGTGACACTGATCCAATAAATGTCCTACGCATTTGTAGAGAGTTGCCCAACTAGCCCCATGCGTTAATAATGTCAATAAGTACGGTCTACATGAGTGCGAGCTAACAACGCTCTCGTCAATCCTCACGTATACGTTAGTTTTGCCAAACAGCAGTCTCATTTGCAAACTGGGACAAGTGCCGATCAACTCTGGCTCGACTAACGCCAACCAATCGATCAATAAACCCGTTCTTGGTTTAATCGCTCCTTGTTCGCTGTCTGCTACTAATAGCTTCGCCATGCCTTCGACTAGCGAATCATTCTTGTGCTGTTTCATACAAATATCCAACAATTTCCTACCGACGTTCTCTATTCGCTGAGGTTCGGCGCTTTCCAGGATCGCAGCTGGTTCGCGATCGAGTTGCGGTTGATCATCGTTACGTTTGGGTATGCGTAAGCTGGCGAAGTCGCGGAGGACTGCCAGAATCGGTGCGTTTACTTCACCGATGAGCGAGATTAAATTTAGGCACATGCTACGCGCAAGATCGAGTGTGATCGGGTTTGTTGTTGATTTCTTCAGTGGTAACAGGATTACCCGCATCAGTGTGCAGGAATATTGAGGCATGTGCACCAACGAAGATAAGAATTCTTTCACCTATAATTTTACAAGGTTGTAACAAATTTACACTTGTATGCAAACTTCGAGTATGATTTATGAATGATATTGATGATGATTGATATATGTTTTAATTATATATTCTCATTACGTACTAATAATTGAATTTTAAGATTGAATTCTATTCAATAACGGCAGCTTTGAGGAAGAGAGTGGTTTTACTACATCAATACATGCAGCTAATACTCGTCTATAATTCATCAAACAATTTTATAAATCACTCTTTCTTTACTAAAAAAATAATTGGTGGAAACTAATCACTGTTAAAATACATATAAAATAACGTGCACTTTCAGAATGTAAGCATTAATGTGAACATAACCGAGCGAAAGAGGTTAAATCGTGTATTCTTAACTAGACGAAGCAATGAGCTGTTAATGCTTATAAAAATCAAATTGTTAAGCCACTACAATGCTCACCTTGTCTAAACCATTATCTTGCTGAGTCTGATCATTCGCCTACAAAAGCAGAGTTTCATACAAAAAGCAAAAACCAACAAAAAAAAATAATATCAAGAATAAAGAAAACAAAATAATGTAGCGTCTATGCTTACTCCTTTTTTTGTTAAAAACAAAATACCTGAATCGAACTAAGTACGCTGAGTATGTGTTTGATGACAATAACAATGGTGCCTCGTTCGTTTTCCATTCCAGATCTCTGTAAATCTTTGGCAAGAATTTTGTGTAATTTTCTGTAAGCTTCGGTCTTCTGAGCTATTGGAATTTTCTCAATGAATAGTTGATTAATGAGAGTAGGTACTTCAGTTTTTGGAGTACACGGTCTTTCTGTAGCTCGACAAAGTTTGCTCAGTGCCAAGCTTGAAGGCAATTGCTCCAATCTTGTGCTGATCTTTGGTGGACTCTCGTCAGGCAACTGTTGCGCTTGAAGTTGAATGTGTTCTAAGAAAACCAATCCTCCAGCTGCTCCTCGATTGTGCAAAATCCTGACGAGCTATTAATATAAAATATTTAAGAAAAGCTTAAAAATATTTTTATCTAATTCAAATTTTAAATCTAAAATTTGAATTCGTACCTGCGCCATGTAAGTCTTATCCAGTACATGGTTAGTTACCGCCACCGGATCAATCTGTACGGCGGCGTCAAGAAGATGCAGCAACTTAGTCATCGCGTTCACGGGCACACCGAAGCTCTGGATAAATAATACTAGTTGGTACGGATCCAAGTCTCTAAGTGCTGCATCGACCAATCTTGGAATATTACTTCTGATGATTCTCAGTTTCAACCAGTCAGGAATCAACAATGCTTCTTCGCTCGTGTCTACGAGGAATGCTTTGGGCGGTTCGCAATCCGTTGGAAACCAAGTCTCGAGTAATTGCTTAAAAAGCAGATCATTGCTTGCTTGGTCATAAGTTAGCAGAATTATCATTGCATGTACTACAAGAATATGCATCGTGCATCCTTCTCCAGTTGCCCACTCGACCAAAATCAAATCTTGATTCTCTGACCAGGTCACCCGTTCGCCGTCTTGTCGTGGTGCACGAGCCTTAAAAAATATAATTTACGATAAAATATTATACACTTCATACTGAAAAATTATCATGACAGAAGTTTGACAATTACCTTATCTAAATAGTTACAATAAATTGAAAGGAAAGCATGTAGCGTCTGTCGACTCTGAGGCGTATCCAAATCAGGCTGTGGTAAAATAGCTGCAACAATCGTGTTTCTCTCGACGACTAACTGAGAAATCTCGTTCACCAGGAATATCAACTCAGATATATCATCGTCTGGAGTGTGAGCTGCGAGGTAAGATATGTAAGCTTGTACTAGCTCAGGATTATTCTCGACTTGGCATGCCCCACGCAGAGCTTTCGAAACGAGTGTTCGTACTGCTGGAAAGTGAGGAATCGATGGAAGTTTTCGTAACAGCCATGCTTCACTAGAAGAGAAATTATGCGATTAATAACGAATCTACATGGTAAAATATATAAAAGAAAAAATAACATACCTCTCAGTTTCACCATCAACTTCCATGACTTCATCGTCCATAGGGATAGTATTTAATACGAGTTTCAACCCAGCGATCGCTTGCATTCTACTTGCGCTAGACTGACTACTGAGCCTCCTGAGGAAGTACTCTAAAACTTCGCAAGCCTGCAGCGAGTCTTGAAGAGGATCCGTCAATAAAAGCTGCAAATGAGTTAGCAATTGTTGCTGTCTTGATTGCTTGTCCGCCTGGCCAACCGTTGAAGACAGCAGAAACTCGCAAAGACATTGAACTGGCAATTGGCTAAGCGAACCTTCACTGTTCTGCACGAGACCGGCCAACCAAGGCATGCTTTGCGAAGAACTTGACTGTTGACGTTGAATTATGTCGAGAAGGAAATCAGGTTTACGCGAGCGACATAATAGATGACCGAGTCTATGGGTAGTATTTAAAGATTGAATTTGATCGAGGATCAATTGTGGTGGACGTCGAGCTATGCCCATTGGATCCATAGTTATGAGTTGTGACAGCAAAAGACTATTTTGCTCAGAAATCTGTACGCGTGTTGAAGCTGCCGCGAGATATGTCTCGTACTCTAGGATACGGTCTTTCTCCGTTGCTTCGACTTGGAATTCCTTTGTGCGTTCTTCTTCGATTACTTCCGGCAGAGCCATAGACGGTGGTGGATACGAGAAATGACTAGTAAAAAATTACGATTTAGTCATTTCATAAATCAACAAATTAAAACTGTATTGTTAAAAGTAATCACTCACTTTGTAATACACATCTCCATCAACACTCTCAAAATTGGATAATGTTCCCAACCGACCGCACCAATGGTTGACGGATTGTGAGCTGCCAGCATCAACAACATCACCCAACCTTTCCAGTAGAGATTCGAAATAGCTAGTGTAGGAGGCTGATAACCTAACGGAATATTTATCGATGCCGGAGGCTGATAAGTGCACAAATTGAATATCAAATCCATGACCTCGGTGTTATCGATGTGCAGCAAATGGAATATGTCGGTCGAGCACAATGCTGCTCTCCTGACAAGCTGATCAGCCAGTTCGAGTACTTCTGGATGAGTAATTCCATTTTCCTAGAAACAAATGAAGGCAATATTCGTATTGAGAATTCAAAATTTAATCAAATCAATTTTAAAATATTTACTTTGGAGTATCCTACGATAAGAAGTTTGATCAGTGTACTCTCCAGCAAAGGCACTTCAGATATCGTTCGCATGTAAAAAGCTCTGTCAGAATCCGGCGGGAAATTGTCCGGTTTGCAATACTGTTCTGGTGGTTCGAGCAACATGATCTTGTGCATTGCGTGGAGCATTTCCATTTTGCCGACGTTGTACATTTGTGGCGCAGGACTCTGCAGCCAGGCAATCGCCTCAAGCTGAATGTTGGCAACGAGATTTTGAAACTGATGCAGTAGACCAACGTCCTTTTTATCACCTCGTTGATTGAGGGCAGCAGCTTCTTTTACTTGTGGACTGATTGCCAAAAACATGCACAAGCACAGAAGATCGATGGTATTACTGAACATGCGTTCTTTGAACTCGAACGCTGGCAGCTGTTGGATAATATCCACTCGAGGACTCATCAGTGTTCTAGCTAGAACTGACAAATTGATGTCGTAACGACAAACTCGCACAATTTCTCGTAGAAGTGCACGCAAAGGACGCAGATAGTCCTCGCGATTAATAAGAAGATCTTGGAAAATTTCGCCAAGAAGTTTGGCTGAGGATTCCGATGAAGTTTGAAACATGACTGCTATCATAGGCATATTGTTAGGATTTCTTGCGTTCGAGAGTTCGTTATAGATCGTGTGCTTCAGAATTGTTGCAAGATTTTCTGGATGAAGTCCGATCAATTCTTTAACGCCATTCAAGTAGAGATTTATCACTGATTTCGTTTTTAATCTCATTTTTACCAGGTGACTAATCACCTCGACGTCCCTCATCGTGTGTCCTGTGCAGTTGTAGCATACGTAGCTGAGAAGTTCTTGAGCAGAACGCATTAGTTTTGGATTGTGAAGCCACATTTCCAGTTTTGGTACAGTGATATTTCTTATCTCGACGAAACCACAGGCAGATGACAATAGTTTCAAAAAATTACGATTTATGGAGTCAGGTTGACGTCGATTCAACTGCTCTTTCACGACGTCTAATACGATGGTTTCCACCTGTTCACTACAGTGAATGTATCGTGGAATCACCGATATATCGGTTTTTTCTTTGTCTCCACTAATCTGAATCAATGAAGCTGATGAATCTTCATCTTCCAAAAGTGTCGACGGACTGCTACAATCTCTGGGAGTCATAACTGCTAAATCTGACTGGAGGACACTTTTTGGTGGGATTCTCGTGTTGAAACCCGTCAAGATATTGTCGACGAAACCTTTACATTCCTCGTTGTCGACCCATGTTCGTTCTCCCAAAGCATCGTCGATATAACTCTAAATAATAACTAATTAGATATCAAGTGATAACAAATTTGTGTATTTTTAAATTTCTTACATACCTTTACAAAATCGATTGGCCATTCTCTCTTGTCTTGAAAACCTCTCATCAATAGATTTGCTACCAAGACAGGTAACATTGAAGTATTTTTGTTTTTGTATGACTGATGTGATAAATCTTTCTTTAAAAGTGATGCTAAACCATGCAAGATACACTGATGATCAAAAATTGATGGTCGAACTTTCACCAAATACAACAGTCCCATGCAAATTACGTTATCTGGTTTGTACTTCGTATTTCTCAAATTTTTTATAGCTCCACAAATTAGACCAATAAGTTTTTCTCCTTCATCATTGTCATTAGCTTCTAAAACCATCGGAACTAAATCTGCAGGCTCGCAATCTATTGCCATCACCTCCCAGGCTTCTGTATAACTTATAGGAGGTCTCTGAGAAGGTATTGTATGTGCTGCTAGCTTTGGCTTTTTTGAAGGTATCATTGATTGTATAGGTGGACCCTCTTTCTTCCGATCATTGCCTAAAGCATTTTAATAATTGTTACAAATATTCTAACATTTTTATTTTCATTAAAATAATTACTTGTGGTAGACGTAGTAGTAGTTGTTTTTGCAACTCCAACCCCAGGTCTTTTAGCATCAGTTGCATCTCCTCTATTACCTTTTGATCCAAGGGCTATAAAATCAGACGGAAGAGGAGCTATTTTATTTTTGGAGCCTCTACCGGGTCCTGTCTTGCCTCGTTCCATTTAGAATTTGTTATATTTTAACTTTGTTTACAGAATACTGATCTGAAAAGAAATTTAAATTATTTTCAATATCTTAGATATTACAGTGCAATTAATTTTGCTGCTTAATACACGTTTAATACGAAATAAAGAAAATTTAAAACCAGAAAATTAATTAATCATCACTTGTCAACACTCAAAATATAAATTTTCGAATGATGTCAACATTTATACTGTAGGTTTGTTCAATCTCATATAAATCACACTATGAGCATTCGTTCGCTCAATACGCAAGAAAGAGAAAGATAGTTCCTAGTGATAACGAGCGAACGAACCTTTATTTTGACGACCGCCTCTACTTCATTCATAACCTTAACACACTTACTGTGACAGGTTTCTTCTACGAATCTAGCCTTTTTGCAGCGAATAACGGCACGAATGCATTGCTAATTGGGTTATCCTTTATATCAACAGTCAAAAATTTGACCTTGCGTGTAATTATCTCATCAATCGCAGGCACTTTCACCGCGAAACTCTCCTTCTATTCGTACTCGTGCGCAGCGCGCAACGGATTGACGTATCTTTGCCACCTTCCCGAATCCAGATACATTTATGCTGAAACGTCACCAGAATTGCAGACAACTTTTCTATCCGGAATATCCCTTAAAATATGGAACTTAAAGGGGGGAGAGAAAATAGTATTTGTTTTGAATTTATAATTTAAAGCGAATAATCCCTTAGAAATGATCAGAAAAACACGAGTGTTGAGCCTAATTTAGGAATGTCAGTAATTGGTTACGTTTTTTCTATCCGCAATAAAAATAAAACGAATAGTTTTTTATGTTGAAAAATATGTTTTTCTACTTTACATTTATGAGCTACTATTTTAATTGAAATGTTTTATGATTTATTACGATATTTCATCATTTGAAAAAATCTATAATTTTTCAGGATTAGAGCATAAGAATCATATTGATCGCCAACTGATCAAATAAAAAATTAATGTTGTTAAACCGAACTCAATTTATACAGGCATTCGTAACAAAATTTGCATACACGCAAATCCAATCAGAAAACTTCTTGATCGCCTGAGAGAGAGGGAACCAAGGGCGGGGGACTGGAGGTATGCCGATATCTGCGCAGAGGAAGCGCGCAAGAGGTGAAGGTTATTGCACAGCTGAAATAGTGTTGGCTGTCCTGACTCTTATATTGCCTTTCCATCGCCGCCTACGTTGAGGTTTTTCAGTATCAGTACGCCTGCATTGCAGGTATCACGTCGACTGTTCTTGTCGAACGTACGCACACAGATACAGGCAGCGATAACACTTAATCTCTCCCTGTAGACTTCTGCTGGCATAGTATGACAGTCATGGTAAGTCGAAAGTCGATCAAATATTAACGTGTTCATGTGTAGAATCATGACAGTAAGTTGCGAAGATAAAGGCCGATAGGTGTAATGTCGCACTTGCAAAAATGTGTCCCATACGCAGATCGAATTGCGCATCGACTCGACTTGTATTACTGAGCTTCCCTTTGTAGCCTCGTTTTTCGCTTTAGATACTGATCTCTCTTGCCCCTGGGATATGTTGTGCGTGAGTTGGCCGCGCGTGCGTTTGGAGCGTTATAACAGATCGAACAACACATTGACGACTTTTTTTTATCTCAATTTCAGCGTATGCGAGCAGGCAAGTGTCCTACCGACGAGCTTAGTCTCACCAACTGTGCCATTGTCAACAGGGCTGACTTTGGCGATGATGTCAAGTGAGTGATTTGTCTTTTTCTCTCTCTCTCTCTTCTCATCGACACCTTGCATCATTCTTCTACTGTACTTTTACTTTCGTTTGCATACTCAACGACTTGTCGATGCTGTCAAGTGCACGAAGAAAGTGTATTGATTGCCGTGTCGAGAGAAAGGTGGCCTTATTTCTTCAAGGTCTTTTCTCTCTCACTATTCCAATTTTTTTTTCACTGAAATATTGTAACATTAAACGCGAACAATAATGTAAACATTAATAAATGCTAGTTGTAGTCTATGTAGTGTATTTGTAAAATATTAAAACTCAATTTTTCAGTGACCAAATTTAACTATGTGCTCATATGAGTCATCATGCTAAAATACTTTACTACTGGTTGTCTTTGAATGACAAACCTAGATGTTAGAAACTTTTAATAACTCTATACTAAGTGTAATTATTATTAATTTGATAAATTTATTTTTCCATTGTTGATGCTGAAAGAGACTTTATTTATCATATAATAAAACATAAGTGAATGAAACATGAATGAAAAATTATCTACTTATTTTTAGACATATTGAAGTATCAACTGGACCCAACCAGCACTTTATTTTCTCTGTCAAATGTTGTCCTCAAGTCGACAGGGGTACGGTGGGCTTCAGCTTGCCACAGAGAAAATGGGCAACCTTATCCCTCAATCAGGAGATCGAGGTCAAACCCTACTATTTCGATCCCTCATCTACTTCAGAATTCTTGAGCGGCATCACATTGGAAGCAGATTTTCTGCAAAAGAAAACGTGAGTATCCAACAGTCAATGAAGAAATTATCTGTTTATATATTATCTTATGAGAAATATCAATTATAGCACAACTTTGGAACCGTATGACACAGAACTTATGGCAAAAGACTTCCTCATGCAGTTTGCAGGACAAGCATTTACAGTAGGACAACAGTTAGCATTCCAATTTCAAGAGAAAAAGATGTTAGGTTTAGTTGTAAAGAGCCTAGAAGCAGCAGATCTTCAAGCAATCAAAGCTGGCCAAGAAGCCAAACCCAAAAAAACCAGAATGGGTCGACTTCTAGGCGATACTGTGGTGACATTTGAAAAGGCACCCAACTCCAGTTTGAACCTTACCGGTACGAAGCAAGGAAAAATCACGCGTCAGTCGATCATTAATCCCGACTGGGACTTTAACAAGATGGGTATTGGTGGTTTGGATAAAGAGTTCAGTGCAATCTTTAGAAGAGCTTTCGCATCCCGCGTATTCCCTCCAGAAGTAGTCATACAGCTTGGGTGCAAGCATGTCAAAGGTATTTTGTTGTATGGTCCACCTGGTACTGGTAAGACCCTCATGGCAAGGCAAATTGGACAGATGTTGAACGCGAGGGAACCTAAAATTGTCAATGGACCTCAGATTTTAGACAAATATGTTGGTGAAAGCGAGGCCAATATTAGGAGGCTGTTTGCTGATGCCGAAGAGGAAGAAAAACGAGTAAGCTTGTGGTTACTATGATCTTCAAAGTATTCATTGAATATTGATAATTGGTTTTTAATTTTTTGCCGTAGCTTGGACCAAATAGTGGACTTCACATAATAATATTCGACGAGATTGATGCAATTTGCAAAGCTAGAGGTAGCGTTGCCGGTGCCACCGGTGTACACGATACCGTGGTCAATCAGCTGCTCGCCAAAATCGATGGTGTTGAACAGCTGAATAATATCCTTGTTATTGGCATGACTAATAGACGCGACATGATTGACGAGGCTTTGATGCGACCGGGTAGATTAGAAGTAAGTATTCCGTAGAAAAAGATAATATAAAACTAATGAATTTTAAATACATCTTCGTTATTATGCCGAGTACAGGTGCAAATGGAAATCAGTTTGCCAGACGAGCATGGAAGATTTCAAATTCTTGGTATTCACACGTCGAGAATGCGGGACTACAAGAAAATCGCACCCGACGTCGATCTGAAAGAACTCGCGCTGCTTACAAAGAACTTCAGTGGTGCTGAGCTGGAAGGTCTTGTTCGTGCTGCGCAAAGTACGGCCATGAATAGGCTAATTAAGGCATCGAGCAAAGTTGAAGTGGATCCTTCTGCTATGGAAAAGCTCATGGTGTCGAGGACGGATTTCCTTCATGCACTAGAGAATGACATCAAGCCTGTAAGTATTCTAAGAAATTGCAAGTAGTTTGAATGACTACTTCCATTTGCATTTGTAATTGATTTAATTAGATAATACATGGCAAGGGCTTTTAGGAGACAAAGAGGGAATTGTTTAAAATCGAAGAAATTTCAATTCATTGAAATTTTTAATTTGTGGAAGCTTTTTATGCTCCAGTTTTATGTATAGTATTGTTTTGTAGATGCAGCTCTTAATTTTGATGTACAACTGGAAAATGTAAATTTGTAGGCTTTCGGAACGAGTGCTGAAATGTTAGAGCAACTACTTACTCGAGGTATCATCAATTGGGGCAGACCAGTGGCCGACATTCTTGCCGATGGCAATTTATATATCCAGGAAGCTCGTTCAGCTGAAGGTTCAGGTCTCGTCTCGATTTTACTCGAGGGACCACCTAATGCTGGTAAAACTGCACTCGCCGCTCAAATTGCCAAGAACTCAGACTTTCCATTCGTCAAGATTTGCACACCGGAAGACATGGTCGGTTACACAGAATCCGCGAAATGCTTATCAATCAGGAAGGTGTGGATTTTTTATTTGATTCGTTGGGTATAGTTTCATATTTCAAGGCATTGATAATGCTATTGTTATCTTTGTAGATCTTTGACGATGCGTATCGATCTCAACTCAGCTGTATCGTTGTGGACAATATCGAGCGCCTACTCGATTATGGTCCTATTGGTCCACGATATTCCAATTTGACACTGCAAGCTCTACTAGTTTTACTGAAAAAGTTACCTCCACGTGGCCGCAAACTTTTAATCCTATGTACTACAAGTCGCCGGTAGGATTCCTAGCGATGAATTATACATCATGCGATTGACAAATAGTAGAATAATTTACCATTGTTTTGTCATAGGCAAGTTTTGGAAGATATGGAACTTCTTACCGCATTCAGCACCATCCTTCATGTCCCCAATTTGTCGACACCTGACCACTTGTTGTCAGTATTGGAGGAAGTTGAGCTTTTCTCAAAAGAGGAATTGTCGTCACTTCATGCAAAACTTCAAGGAAAAAGGTAATTAATCTTTATTCGATGTGCTATTTTTCAGTAATTAGATTTCGATTCATGCGACCAAATGTTGCCTAAAGTAATTTGAAGTTTGTCAAATTAAAGTAATATTTTTACAATTATGACATTGTCGTGGAATGTGTAGCAGCCGAAACTGGGTTTTTCCTAATCGAAAGGCAAACGTACAAAGGCCAAGTCCTATCAAGTAAAGCGATCTAATTACACATAAATTAGTATTTAGATACTTAGATAGCGGCAAGCTTTTGGCAGTTTGAGTTTGCTCGCGTGTTTGTAACCTTTGTTACTTCATTGGTTCCAGTAACCATCCAGTAACCTTTGTTAATCCACTGGTTTTTGATTAAAAAGTTATCAAAAAATATTGAATGAAGAAAAGAAAAAAATGTTTGGTCACATTTTTAATCCAATACTGTGTAATAATTTACTATTTTAGTTTTACTCGTGTTATTAAGCTTTTTGTGCACGTCAAATCAAATGGATTTATCATTCATCGGAGAGTTTAAAAGTGAAAACAATATTAATAACATAATAATAATTTATTTTCACATTTTTATTATGAGTTCTGTTTGGAATTGTTTTAGTACATGTTTAGATATTTTGGACTATCCCCTATTTTTCATCGTCAACTTGTTTATAACGTAGATTATTTTGAAAATTTAATCAACCAAGTAATTGCTCACTTATTCATTGTGAGTAAAATACATTACAATTAATTTTTAATTACAGAGTTTTCATCGGAATCAAGAAACTACTAGGTCTGATCGACATGGCAAGACAGGTGGAACCGAATTATCGTGTGATCAAGTTCCTTACCAAATTGGAAGAGGAAGGCGGCCTCGAATAAAACTGTACCTTAACATGACTAAAGTTTCATTTATCTATTCGTTTAGCAAGGACTATAAGTCTATCTATAGTGAAACAACATTGTTTAGCGTAATTAGACGATACCTTGGCTTTAAATGAAAAAAGAAAAGAAAAAAAGAATAAATTAATTGGCACTGCAATTTTATTCCGAATAGGCCAATAGATTTAAATAATTAGATACTAATAGTTTAATTATTATTGTATTTAAAATTAAGTCTGACTTGGGCTTATGACCAAGAATCATTAACTTCAGTTTGTTCTAATTGACAAAGGATGCCGTATCAGATGTGCATTCCTTGGTTTTATCTGTTCGTATGTTGACATTACAATGTTATTTAATAATACAAAAGCTACTTGTTGATCAAGTCCCGAAACATTATAGAATTCCTGTATAAATAATAAACGTACATGTACAGCGTTGATTATTGTAAGCACGATTGAATATTAACATACTCATAAGCCAATAGAGAAAAAAATAGTAGTGAGGCACTTGTTTTTTTCATTAAACTACAATGTGGTAACGTGTTTTAATTTTTCTTGATTTTGTGTGTGAACGGCGTACTTCATTTCACTAATTTCTTCGGCTCAGTTCTTGGGAAAAGACAAACTGTAAGCTGTAACAAAAAGAGAAAAATGAGAATACGAAAGAAGATGAATATATTTTAAAAGTCAATTGTATAACAAATAGCTTCCATAGACTTTTTGGTAATGTAAAAGTCATGTGCTAGTTTGTCTATTTATTTTTATTTTGTGATCTTTAGAAAATCAGGAATAATGAAATCATGGAGTTGTTGTCTACATTAAATCAGATTTAAGCATTTTTGCCACCCAAAGAATTATTTTTTTAAGCATAATATACCGTGTCAATTGTTGAATGGAACGACTAGAAAAAAAATGTTGTAGATTATCTCTCTTAGCTGGAAATGTAAATGATATTTGATATTAGCCACTATTTATTGAGATCGAGCTACGAAGTCATTCCATTAGTTAATTGTACAAAGATATTTTTTTATTTATTGTTTTATACATATTTATAATTTGCATATTTTCCAAACACTAAAAGTGGCTTTAAATTATTCTACCTTATCATCTTGGTTGAAGTCAGCCGTCATAAAATATACTTCAACTGTTTCTTTTGAAAAAAACAATGTGAACATAAATTTATGTATACTCTGAATTAAATTAAATTAAAAAATCATTGTTTAAAATTATTGTTCGAAGATTGAAATATATGTATTATGTACATTTTTTCAATTGTATCTATCGCTGCTAGATTATATCAATAAATGTCAATATAATAAAAATTCGAAGTTACACTTTTAACAGTCCCAATAATACTGCCCCAAATAAAAACAATATAAGATAAGGTAATAAAAATACAAAATTTCATTAAGACTTGTTTCATTATATTTTGTTTTTTCATATTGTCGCACTTCATTTAAACAAATTAGTTTTTATAAACAACTATATGGTACATTCTTTTCTACTTTTTTTTATAAAAAATGGTTTTATATTATTTTATATTTATGAAAACAAGATGAACATGCATATTTCAACCATTTGCAATCACTTGACAATCTTATAATAAAACTTATTTATAATACTTTGAATAACAATTTTTCAATTTCCAACTTACAAATTACTTATATACAATGTAGAATGTTAAATATTTATCGCATAACTACAGTACGCAAATAAAACTGTAGACTTTGATACAAATGAAGCGAACGACTTGTCAAAAGCTAAACTACATTCAAAGAAAGTTTAAAGTTCTGAAAACTCACATAATAAGTATCATTACCGGCTTAGAAACGTTTTTTTTATTATTTTTTTATAATGTGTAACCAATCAACAACATATTTACAATCGCACTGTTTTAATTTACACTTATTAAACATTTCAATAGTAAATTCAATCGGTAAAGTTGTTAAAAGTATATTAATTACATTTTTAAAGTTTAGAATTGAGAGAATTCACTTCACATGTAATGGCAGTTGGTAGACAATAGTGATATGAATCATTTTTCGTAAAATTATTTCATTACGCCGGGCTAGGCAATAATATATAACATGTTTTTACACGTGGTACCGTAATTCATATCATCTGTTAATACTGAGCTTATAAAAATTTCTTTTAAAATTTCTCTATTTGTGCTTGGCGTCACATTCAACAACATTGTTCTCTCACCACCTATTCAAAATCAATATACACAACGCTCCCACATTAAACAAAAATACTTTTTATTTATCCTCATCGATCTTCCTCTTTGTACACACGGATATATAACGACATATTTGTACTTGCACATTTAAAATAACACTTTTTTTTACTTTTGAGACATTGTATACCTTAAAAAAGAAACACTTTTTAAAACTAATACAGAATCCAACTATTAAAAAAACAAGCTGCAAGACTCTAAAAGAAATGAAGCGTAATACCTGTATTCGAATCGTCGTATTAAAAAAAGAATAAATAAATGAAAAAAATTAAAAAAAAACAATAAATTTTCTGAGAACAAAACGAAACAGATGGCGTCTATAATATGGTACATATCACAAAAGCAACGGCAACAGTCGGAATTTGAGCTTCGAACGGACGAGAAGCAATCACGAAGGCTTGCACGAAGGAAATCTTCTTGGGGTAATACAACTGATTTGTTTGCGCCACCTTGACCGATTACGTTGGATGTTGACTTTATGGCGATTTCCTACATTGTTTGTTTCTAATTCATGTTGATCTGCCTCTTGCCTTCGCGCTTCCTCTAAAAAATTTAAAGAATATAGACTTATTAATAAATCATTAACGATTTCTAAATTAATGTAAACTATATCAGACCATTTGTGAAACCCAACGTAATTTTAATAATTGAACTGAATTAATTTGTCGCATGAGTTGAAAAATTCCAATAACCACTTACAAATATTTAGTGAAGACATATTAAACGTGAACATACAGTGTCAGAGAATCCAAAATTGTTAGTTGATAAAAGTAATAATACTCTTGTTTACTGCTAATGTTAGACTAAGAATGTCACACAGTTTATGTTCTCAAATATCAGACACTTATCAACAGCAAGAATTGGCTAAACTTTTAGAAAAATTAAAAAAAATATGTTGTTTATATGTATGAGAGAGCGTAATTTGTTACTTAAAGAAATTCATATATATGGAAAATTATAAGATAACGGTAACAAAATTATTAATTTTTACTGTTTATCAAGTTATGAAATCATAACTAGATTGTACATTCGAGTTTTCGTTAAAGTGAAAAACAATAAAAAAAAGGGTAGCGAAAATACATTACCATTGAGCTCGCGTTCTGTGTAGTAATTAATATTATTGTCAGTTCCATAATGGTGATCCATAAGATATGGTAAGACAGTCATTGTGTGCCACTCATCTCCTCTCCTTGGAGGAAATGGTACTTGTTCTAAAGTCTTTGGGGGATTGCTTGTTGTCCACCGATGATGCCTAACTTTTTGTAAAGAAAACCTAATGTCTGTATCTTTTTGTAACATTCCTTGAAGAAGCGATCTTAAATCATCTTCAACGTCTTCAGGAATAGTATATTCTCCTTTGCCTATAATTTCATACAATTTGTAAATGTTGTCACTTTGAAATGGATAAGCACCTGTTGTTATATTATATCTGAAATCCATAATACAGTCATAAATTTCTCTTCGTGAATATTATAATCATATGTATAAAATTAATGCTGACAATGTAACACCACTACTCCATATGTCTACTTTGAACCCTGCAAACGAATCACAGCCATTAGCTATTTCAGGAGGTTGAAAAGCAGGTGAGCCCTGACCAGTCGTACATGTATCATCTTTGGAAAACATGTCCAGTGCCTAAATTAAATGACTAATTATTAAGACTTGCTATAGATATGAGTAGGTATATAATGGAATTGAATTTTAAATACCTCTGCTACACCAAAGTCACTGATTTTAATGGTACCATCTAGCGTTAATAACAAATTCCCAGGTTTTATATCCTTATGAACAATACTCCTTCCATGAAGATACTCTAAGCCATCTAGTAACTGACAAAAGTAGTTATGTGCTTGCCAAAGAGGGAACTTTTTACAAGGAGAGCTTTCTAACATATCCTAAAAAATCAAAATTTACTCTATTTTATAAGGAAATTTATGAATGATGTGTAGTAAATAGCAAGAATATTGACCTGAAGCCCACCAACACAGTATTCCATAATTATATACATCTTCTCCTTTTCATCATTGTAAAGAACATCAACAAGGCCGATAACGTTTTTATGCCTTAGTATCTTCAAAAGTTGAATTTCTCTGTGGAAAAACAAATTGTAGAGCATAATTATTCCATTTTCAGAATTAGAAAATTAGTTGGAAATAAAATTATCTGATAAGCACTTGAGGTTGAATTTAGCCAGACAAACAGCAACAATAGGCTGCTAATAAATATTCAATGAATGAATCACCTTTGGACATTGCTCTCTCCATTGGGTATCCTTCGAAGCTTCTTCTTTTTTAGAATTTTCACAGCTCTCCTACAGAGTGTCTCAGAGTCCAACATCTCTTTGACCTTGCCGTAGCTGCCTTCCCCCAAGAGGTCACCCATTACATACTTGCCAATGTACTTGCAGCGCTTTTTCTCCTCGTAGATGATCTGATCAGAGGCAACTCTGTGGAAGAACGTGTTGCCGTCATCGACACCGTTGAGGCATTCAATTTCATCACTGATATCTCCCCACGTGACCGGCTCGAGGTCCTGGAAGATATCGTCGTCCGGCTCGTAGATATTCATCTTCTTTCGTTGTGTGTATCCGTCGTCGTGTCTTGTCTCGTGATTTTTAACCTAGAATTTAAACTGCCGGCGAGCCATTGACCATCACCACACCAATTACATTTGCAGATTTAGACTCGTCCTGGACGACGCTTCACTACCGTGGCTCGCTCCATTTACTCAGTTTTCCTCCTCTCGAGCTGGTAAACAACGAGACATTCTTTTTCCGCGCACACATATGCAAGTACACGGATGCTACTTTAAAAATGGTTTTTAACAGACGCCATTGTGTGTGATATGAATGCGTGTGTGTCATACGCGTGAAATCCTCCACCGTAGTACAAGCTACGAAACGTGAGCGTTCGCTCGGTACTCACTGCGTACTGCTCAGCTGAACTCACACGTAGACACCACAGCAAATCATTACGTTTGCCGGGAAACGATGGAAACAAAAATGTATGAAGCGATAAGAAAGGGCGATTCGGTATTTATTTCATAATTTTTTAATCTACAATATCCCACATCACATCGTCACTATTATCTTACAATCCGATGTGTTTTCTTGACGAAAGCTAAAATTACTTTTTAATTATCCAGTCTCATTATTTTTTATAAATTTATGATTCTAACAAAAATTATACAAGTAATTTATACTGTTGAGCTTAAAAATTAAATTATTAAAAAACATTTAGAACCCGACGGTAGTTGAAAAGTAGTAAAAACGAGATATAGCAATACATAGTACTAAACCATATCATATACCTTTACCAATGATCAAAAAGAAAAGTTGCAGAGAATTGTATCAATTTAAACTATATTAAAATTATATCCTGTTAAAGTCTTATAATCATATACTTATTAATATTTAAAAGAATGTGAATTAATTAATTGAAGTTAATAAAGCGACTGATAGAAAAAAGTGAACATCCTAATTATTAGAATCAATTATGAACAGAAACCATTGTAATTATTAATAAATACAAAAGTTGTATTTACTTTTCGCAGCTGCGCGGCGATGTACAACGCCATCCTACGGTGACATGTTACTCCATCTCAATATCAGTGATGAGAGTGCATCTGCCTGCACACGATACGAACAACCAAAACGTAAAAAGTGAACCGAGATGCGAGACTTGCGCGTGAGGAACTTTGCTCGTTAGGTACCTGCTTAACTATCAAGAGACACTTCAAGCGTATACTGCTACGACTTATTATTTTTCAACTACAATTTGTGATATATCAGTCGAAGTTCAGACATCCGAGAACGCAAATGTGCAGTAAATAATAGAAATATCAATAGTCAAGCAATTGGTTGAACAAGGATGGCGAGAAATTTGCAAGCTTTACTACCGCTACTGATCGTCTTCGTTTTGGAACAGTGTCAAGCCGAGCTTTTCTATAACATCATCAAACAAGAAGACCCTTGTGTTAACCGATGCAAGGATGCACCTCTACCGCTTACAAATGTACGTTACATTCGATATTGTTGATCCAATGATTAATGCGAATCTACATAAATGATTGATATGAAACGTTATACCGCGGTTGTAGAAGGACATCGATCCTGAGGGTAAATATGTGACTACTTGCTGTCAGAGGGGCTGCAGGTTCTTTAATTTGGTCGACTTACGACGCGAATTGGAGCCAAGCAACTTAAACACAAATGCAAGCTTAGATGCTTGCGACTCAAGTGAGTTTAATTGCATGATGCTTAAATACATAAATCTCATTTTTAATCGTCTATTTTTTTTTCAGCTTGTACAGAAGCTTACACTGTCATACAAGACTTGATAGCCTGTCGAATTGGATGTGCTTTTATGGCAAATCAGCTTGTTAGTGGCTTATCATCCCTCTTCTCAATTGCTATTCGCATTGAAGATGGTTCTCATCCTAATATACTTTTCATGTCACCTGATATTCCTGACAATGATTTGTTAGCTGATCCCGGATTAGGAAAGGAAATCTTACCTGGGTGGTGGGACACTGATGGTTTTAAATTACCAGAAACTTACTTCAAGACTGTTCCTATTGATTCTGGAGTATGTAAAAAATGATAAAATTGAAACCAAATATATAATGTATTGTTTTGTCAATATGACGCTATTATTTTACAGACAGTGGATTATGGCATTCCATCAGAATATATAATAGAAAGCGAAAAGTCAACATCAATTCCTGGGTCAGATTGGCTTCAGTGTGCATCGCGCCATACAGGTATACCTCGTTGGCTACTGGCATTTGTGATTGCATCTGCTGCTCTGTCTGCTCTTTGGTTATGTTTATCTCCTGATAAATCACCTGAACCAATAGAAAAAGTACATCTAGTCAGTCGAAGTATTCCTAATAAGGTTACAGTGTACCTACCCGATGAAGCTCCTTTATATAAAAAACCACCCCCGAAGTACGATGAGATTGTGAATATACATCAACCAAATTTTGAGGTTTAGATTAGATGAAAGTAAGATAAACTTGTTTTACATACTTTTTATTATAAAGCAAAACAGTTTAGTCCAGAAAATCACTACTATTTTATACAATCACACTGAAATTCAAGTAGTTTCAAAAATATTTCCTTTTTACCAATTGTTGAAATTCAATATATCATTAGGGCATTATTTTAATTATTTAAGTGAATCAGAAATTTTCAAGCTAATAAATTATAAAAAAGAAGATAGAAGTCTTTTATTGCAAATACTACATATATAGAGCTCTCATTCAAAATCATAAGTAAATAAATCAAACTGAAGGTAGACATTAGATATATGTAATTAATACGATCTCCAATAATATATACAATAATTATTAATATTTTGATCTCAGCAAATAATCCTGATAACTTTAAGATGACCTGTGGTTAACCAGCAGGAGGCATAAATGTACAATTTTGATTGTATGTTAAAAAGTAATAAGATTACCAAAGATGTGAATGTGATATGTATCATCGCTATAACACTCAACCCATTACTTATAAGAATCATCACTTTAGTATTTGAATCGTTTCATGTTATAAAATTTGAGTACTGGATTTTAAATACTTAATTACTGTGTAGTAATGATGAAGATTCGAAATGAATATTATTTTTTCTATAGGCTTAAGAATTGTAATTGATTGGAACAAGGAAAAGTTTAATACTATTGAAAGAGAAATTTTATTATATTTAGCGATATAGAAAATATTAAAATTGCATTGTAAAGATTTATTTTAATTTATGAATCACGTTTATATTTAATCTATGTAAGACTTGAAATGTGATATGACGTGCTCCAGTGACCCATTTTTAAGTTGCTGTACGAAATTTCAACTTAATAGATTATTATGAAGCTTGTTGAGCTATAATGAATTTGATTAAATAAATGTAAATTACTAATGTCGTAGTTAATTGTAATTCCAAAAAATTAAGGTATTGACGATCAATAAAAAGTCAACGTAAAGCGTTCAGTGGAAAACATTGTTTTTATTTTACAAAATTCACACATCTTATACTAGGAAACTTTTTTACAATTGTATAATACAAAGTTTGTTGCCTTAGATGTAACATGGACTCATAAAAGACTAGTACTGTGAAGTACTTTTTTCATGGAAATTAATAATACTTACTCAATATAGATAAATGAATTTAGTTATTGCAATATGTACAAGGCTGAATGCACTTGGTTTAAGAATATTCACATAAAGATAATAAAATTAAACTAAAATAGACGCGTAATCAATAAAAAACTTTACAAAAGTAAGTAAATGAACAATGAAAACTATGTAATAATCCTAAAGCCAATAAAGTTTAGTGTCGTCACGTCGGTGTTGCAATATAGTTACGTAACGCCAAATTTTTAAAGCTGGACCCATTAATAAGCCAAATTTGTTGATAATGTCAGATCTTTTTAAAAGCATTAACGTGGCACCATCGATTTCCTGAAATTCCAAGAAAAGTATTGATTAGTTACTTTTATTAGTTATTTTATCAAAACACTTACAAATTTTTCAATAGAACACTTTTTGAGTACATACCTCAGTTTTAAAAATTTTCGATTCATGAGGAAAGTATCTATAGAAATACTGAAAAACTTGTTCAATGCTCCAATCTGATGCATCTGGAATATTTGGATCTATGGCTTCTTCTTCTTCTTCTGGGTGCTCTAATGAACGTCTTACAGGAGAAACTTGTGTTATGATTCGTGAAATGGTCGCGGTAGTAGTGTTATTTGACTTGTGCTCAGAAGTGTTATTATTGTTAGAATAGTTATTGTTAGAGCTTGAGTTATGCGATGAAGACTTGAAATGATGCTTCTGATTGCATGGGCTGCAGTACCATTTACTTTTTGATATTGGTATACGAGGGGTGTGACAGGAAATATGGTATGCATCATCACAATTGTAACAAGTAACTAGTGGCCCCTTTAACAAACATTTGAAATCGTTAGCAACATCTTAGAAAATGTCCTATAAATAATAAAATTATATTATATATTATTTGTACATACCACATCTGAAGTTTCATAACAAACCACACAAGTCTTGCACCTTTCACATTGCCAGCTAGTATTTACTTTGATAATCATTTCTTCTGGTGTGTAGATACACGATGGATGAGCTAAAATAATAATGGAAACGTTAGATGAATGTGATAAATATAAACATTTGGATATAACCAATTATGATATTCTTACCTCTGACTGTGCAATCTCTACAAGCTATGAGAGATTCTGTTTTGTTTTTAGAACACAAACTACATTGTCTATTTGGATCTTTTGGACTTTCTTTCAGAGTAGCAGTCTTAGTTTCTTGTGCATCCTGTTGATTAGGCAGTACTTTGGAGTATCTTCCTCGCTTCTTTTTCACAACCATATTGTCTGATGGATCGAATACTTTTTTTGCTCGCTATAAATTGAAAAAACATATTTATAATTTGTTTTATCAATAAAAAAGAAATTAAGATAAAGTAAAAAAACTTTGAAAAAACTGACCTTTCTTCTGGCACTCCTAAAACCTCCAGCATTGGTATGGGATGGAGTAGGTGATGGATTAGTTGAGCTTATGCCAGCATCTCCATCTCGGTCATCCTCATCAGTGTATATGTCTTCATCTTTTTTATCGTCATAACTCTTGTAACTGGAACTTTTTCTACACGATTCAAACTTAAACTCAAGATCTGTTGAATCGTCAGTTCTGACACAAAGTCTCTGTTTCCTCTCTGTTTTTGATTTTCGCTGAGTAGGCTGAGCTGCTACTCCATTCTTTGGTTCTTCCTTTATGGCAACTGGTGAGTTTGATGCCTGGCCATTCTGCTTGTTCTCCTTTCTGTATCCATTCTCAAGTTTAACTGAACCAATATTAAAATTAAAAATAATGTTCAAATAATTTTTTACCATTAACAATATCTAATGTACTTACCATTGACATCTTTAGACCTACTAATATTATCATCTGGTCTCCTACCTACAATGATTTCATAGCAATCTTCCGTTTCCATATTCTCAATATCTGTCTTCGAAGTTTGATTTGACTTGGGGGTATTGGAGCTGGAGTCCTGATCATCTGTAGAATCCTTAGAATCTGACTCTGCATCAGGCTGACTAACTACTTTTGCCGATGTGGAAGAAATTTTTCCTTTAGCATTACCATTGACGGCTGCAGCACCAGCATTTGGAGGAACCATGGAATAATTTCCATTAGATAATTTTACCAGGTTGCCACTTGCAACCTCTCTGCCCAGGAAATCCTCGACCATTCGTTTTGACGTTGGATTTAAAACGCCTTCCACTAACTGCTCAATTAACCTAGATAATATACATAGTCTCTTATGTGAAATCGAGGTAACAACATTGTGACGTAACGCTAGATATGTTTTGTTATTGTTATCATGTCAAGAAAGATTTTAATATTTTTGAATGTGTCTCGCCATTGCATAACTTAACATTGATTTTTCAAAATGATCCATGCTTAAAAATTCATATGAGAATAATTAATATCCAAGTTTTATTAATTTACGTAATAAAATAATCGTACACCAATAGAACATAACCTATTATTCCGATTGTCAAATTTATTTATGCATGACAATGATATGCAATATTGCCGATTGTCACCAAAATTTTTTCCAACTTACATTTTCATAAGAAACAGTCTTCTCTCTCAGTCATAATATATGACAGCTTTGTTAAAATTTCAACAGACCCTTTTCACTTTTAAAATCTAAATGTTTTACTGCTCCAAACGAGAAAATGCAACTTACAAATAATATTTTCAGCCCAGCGTCTTTATATATCTACATGATATAGGTTAATCCAATGAAAGAGTTTGAGCTCGTTTTTATGCATAAACACAATCGCAATGACAACGCGAGGGGAAGAAAAACAAAATTTTCATTGAATTTGGAAGCCTTCTTGGAGCAATATCCGACGCGGCTGCTTTTTAAAACTGTGGTAACTCGAAAGTGAACGTTTGGAGCGTTCTAGTAGCGAACTGTACGTGTGTGCGTGTGCGTGCGCGCTATGTATATGCACACAATGCCGTAGTATCTAGTGTGCGTACAGGAGTAAAATGAATTTAATTGAACAATAGTATGAATGGGGTTAGTTTACACTGTGATTGTTAGTTAGACTATTACAATCTGTTATTTTACAATTTTTACAAAAAAAATCACATTTGTTATGTAAAGTCAAACTATGGTATGAATAAACAATATTGTCTAATAACCCGTAATAAAAATATATCAAAGACATGTTTTGCCGATTAGACATAAATAATAATGTCGAGATAAAGTAATGGGCGTTTTGAAAACTATATAAATTTTGACAATCGTCGAATACAAGCGCGAGGGTCGGCTGAATTCGCTTCGACATTATAAATGTATATAGGGTCGTGCTCTTGTTGCTTCGATGGTTCTGCCTTATTGTTGGCGCGATGCTGGGCTGAGTCCGCCATAAAAAGGGAAAGCGAGAGAGAGAGAGAGAGAGAGAGAGAGAGAGAGAGAGAGAGAGAGAGAGAGAGAGAGAGAGAGAGAGAGAGAGAGAGAGAGAGAGAGAGAAAGACTGTTCGAGCGCGTCACAAGAGCACCAGTGTTGGCGTGCAAATGTGTCCAAGAATAAATGACAAGCATCTTCGAAGCCATTGGAATATCGTCTGAGTGCGTGAATATCGCTATCCGAAAAGCATTCGACTGATTATTGCGACTAACAAACGCACGTTCCGGCGACGAAACAATCCCACTCGTCATCCGTATCGAAGCGTTGAAATAAGCGAGCGCGCGATAAAAACGAAGTCAGCACAGACCAAACACTCGACAAGTGTAATTCCAAGAAGGGTCAGCGCCAAAATGAGAGAGAGAGAGAGAGAAAGCGCGCTGGGAAGCGAACATGTAGATTTGCCTTACGTATGAATATCGAAAGAGAACTCACTTGAGAGCAGGCACTCCTTGGTCGAGGTAGTCGGGATCCGCGATAAGCAGCTGGGCCACGGCCCTAGAGACCATCATCGAGTTGTACTTCTCCTTGACGAAGCCCTCCGGTCGGTTTTTGTACAGCTGTAGCCTGGTCCACTTGCTGGCATTTCGGTAGCTGGTGTGGCCCTTGTAGTCGACCTGGATGACTTTCTCGGACTCGAGGAGCAGGTGAAGATCGGCGATGGTGTCGCGCGCGTCGACGGCAAACTTGCGCAGCAGGTAGTTGCAGATGCGATCGGCGTCGGGTCTAGCTTTTCGTCGACGTAGCTGGTCGATCGCCTCGAGTATCTGGTCCTCGTGCTCCACCGGCGGCTGTGGCTGTTCCTGCGCTGCCGCATCTTCCGGGACAGCCGCGGCCTGCTCCTCCAGCGGCTGCGGTTCTTGCGTCGCCGCCGGCTGCTCCTCCTGCGACTGCTGTTCCTGCGCCACAGCCTGTTGCTCCGCTGCCGCGGGCTGCGATTCCTGCGTCGCGGCCGGCTGCTCCTGCGGCGACTGCTCTTCCGCCACGATCTGCTCCTCTTGTGGCTGCTGCTCCTGCGCCGCGGCCAGCTCCTCCCGCGGCTGCTGGTTTGGCGCCGCGACCTGCTGCTCCTGCGGCTGAGGCGCGACGGCCTGCTCTTCCGACTGCTCCTGCTGCTGCGTCACAGTCGGTTGCTGTTGCTTCTGTTCCGCGGGTTGACGTTGCACCGTGGCCTGCTGTTGAGCCACGGGCCGTCGTTGCGCCGCGGCCTGCTCCTGCTGGGCGGCCGTTCGAGCTTGTAACGCTTGCTGTTGGCGGATTTTGCGCGCGCGACGCGCTGCCTTGTCCACCGGCTGTCGCTTTGGCGGCTTCACCGTGGTGCTCGCCATGCTTCGTGCGCGCAGCTCTCTGCAAATGATCCAAGCGTCGACGTTAGCCACTCGGGCTGCAGAGTCGCGCCGGTGCGTCGCTCGCTCTCCGCGCTGACTGTCGCGCGAAGAAGCGCTGGCGCGTCGAAACGAGGCGAGCCGTCGGCGGCGCGCTTCTCTTTTATCGCGGCGCGACCGCGCGCGCGCGAGAGCGAGAGAGGGAGAGAGAGAGAGAGAGAGAGAGCGGAGGCGCAGCAGTGCATTTGAAAAAGCGGAGAGCGAGCGGCGGACGTGTCGCACGGGCGCGCGCGCGCGCGCGCGCCGCTCGGCGTGTCGTATCGACGAAAAACGCTCGGCGCGCAGCGAGTGCCGTTAGATCGGCCCGCGCGGGGAGAAAAACTGTCCGGCGCACCTAGCCCGTTTTCAGTTATTTCTGCGCGCAAGACGGCAGTGCGAGACGCGCGGAACGTGACTCACGCGCGCACCTCGCCACCACGGGCGAGCGCACACCCACGCGTGCTTTCGGCCGCAGGGTAAAGCGCACGAGACGCGCGGCGCGTTATCTGCCGCGCTGGCCTCTCGACTGGATCGCGTTCGATGATGGCGCTCGATCGAGCGCGGCTATATCTATATAGTGTGGCCTGGCGGCGGCAGGCAATTAGCGCGCGCTCGGACCTCGCCGCGACTGCACGATCGCGCACGCACCAGCGCCGACGCGACGGCCAGCGAGATCATCTTCGATAGACGCGTCGGTGAGGACGGCACCTGTCTGCCGGAAGCGGAAGTCTCCTCGGGCTCACTCACGGCGCAGCTGCAATTATCGCGGCTCCAAATTGCATTTTCGCTCGAGGCGAGCAAGCGAGCGAGCGAGCGAGCGAGCGAGCGAGCGAGCGAGAGACAGACGTACAGAGACGAGACAGAGAGAGAGAGAGAGAGAGAGAGTGTGTGAGAGAGAGAGCGAAACTGCAACGGAGCGACGACGGTCGCGGCGAGACGCGCGCGCGCGCGCATGCTTGTACACACACGTGTGCCGTTTCTGCTCTGCGCGCGGCCCACCGCCGCCGCATCCTGACGACTCGCTAACTCTTGCTCCGTTCCCGGCCGTCGCCGCCGCCGCCGCCGCCGCATATATATAGGTATAGAGTACATCGATCGCATCGATTTCGAGGTTACACGCTACGCGAGAGAAAGACGGAGAGCGAGAGCGCGCGACCGAGCGAACCTCCCCCTTTTTTCCGCGGACGACCGCGACACGTGTGGAAATGCGCCATCCCGATGCACTGCTCGCTCTGTTCGCCTCGCCTCCTGGCGAAATAATGCGACGCGTGTGCGTGGCCGCGCGGACGAGAAACGCGCGTCGCCGCGGACGGCGAGGCGATGCTGCGAAAAACGGGCTTTTAAAGGGCGAACGACGGCGGCGACATATTTCGGGGAATTCGATCGCGCGCGGTGGCGGCGCGCTGCGAGAGCGAGAGAGAAAGAGAGCGAGCGCGACCGCCCGTGCCCGAGAAGAGAGAAAAACATGGAACCGCGCTCGCTTGCGCTCCCGCGAGGAAGAGAGAGAGAAAGCTCCCTCTCGGCACGCAATCGCGCAAGTGGATGCGGAACGAGCGGCGCGTTTCCACGGGCGATAAGCGCCGATGCATTGGCAACACGCGGTGCGGGACGCGCGCCCGCCGAGCGCCGTCGTGACTGCGTGCTTGTCGCGCGAATTGTGCATCGCTGGGAAAAGCGTGCGCGCGCGCGCGTGCGTGCGTGTGCGGGAGACCAGGTGCCGGGCGCGGCTTTTCGAACTACTCCGTGCGTGCGCGCCGCGCGCACGATGGCCGGCCGCTCTCGCTCTCTCTCTCACTCCCTCTGTCGCTCTCTCGCTCTATATGCCACCGCGCGAACGATCACACTTTGCAAAGGCCTTCGTTATTGCCCAAGCTAAAAGACCAACGCACCTGCGCGTTTGTTATTTGGAAATCGTGGCAATGCCTGCACGTACCTGACGAGGACACTTTGGACGAAGGAGTTGTACGCCGAGCGGCTGAGCGTGGGCACGGGCTGACCACCAAAAGTGCGCGACGATATTCGTCGAGCGATACAGGCGCAGCTGAAGAGGATCCGACAAACTTGAGGCGACGCTCTAAGATCAACTGGCTGCTCACTGCGCGGTGCCCGGCGCGAAACTGACGGATATATCGCAGCGGAGCAAGTGAGAGAGTCAGCGCACGAGAGCGACGGAGAGGGAGGGAGGCTCGAAGGTGAAATCCCCGCCTCCGCTGCGCGCGCGCCAGCTTGCTTTGCCTGCCTGCTGGCTGGCTGCTGCTGCTGCTGTGCTGTCCGCCGTCACTGTGAGCTTGCTGAAAAGCAGAAGAGCGCGTATGTGTGCGCGCGTGCCCTGTATAGGTGTGACGGTCAGGTGACCAACGCACTCTTTGGGATTCTCTCGTTAATGTTTCTCGCTGCCGTCTCGATTATGTTTTTCTCATTCCGAGCCTCTAACTCTTGCCAGTGGAATTTTTCAGCCCTTTTATAAAAATCCTACGGGGATCCGACATGGCGATGCGTGCGCGCCCAAGCCGCGCGCCGTGTCGTTGCCGCATGCGACGAACACGAGGAAAAGAGAGAGAGCGAGAGAGAGAGAGAAAGAATGAGACGATAATCCTGTTTAATTTTGCAAGCGTTGCGATACCCTGAATGCCGATCATCAACAAATAGTTATCGGCGTGCGAAATGCATCTCGGCGCGGTCGGCGATTCGCAAAAAAAAAAAGAACGATACGCGCTTAGTGCCGCCGCCACTGGTCGGTCACGTAATGCTCTGCGCGCCGCGTCGCACAGCGCTGATGACGTCAGCGGCCGCCGCACGGACTTCGGGAAGTTTGATCGAGCGCGAGGGCCAGCGTGAAGGAATCGTGCTCTGAATGCAAAAATGTAATTTTATTCGAGGAACAATCAATATCAAAAAATGTTAAAAAAACAATCTTTATCGAAGAACATAATTAAACGTCGAAAATCACTAGACTTGATCCATACTGCGAGATGCGTACGCTGCGCGCGCCAAGTTACGTATAGTTTTCCTTCTCCGGGCCTGACTTGGGGACAATCGATTTACTCAGTCTTGGCATCTAAATATATGAAATATTAATACAAACGTTAAAACCACCATGAAACTAGAAATTACGATTGATTAGTCAAACGTATGATCTTACCAGACTCACAGATTTAGTTTTGGTAGCCAGTTTGTTGCTGTTCCGGAGAGGACTAAGTACTGACGATTGGCGCTGAACCTTCTCTGAAACCACTTTAAGACTGCTACTACTCGGCTGTGGAGTTTTGGAATTTTTCAATTCACTGAATGAATTTGCGCAGACCCGCACTGGTTGTGGTGAATACCTCGGCAACCGACTTGATTCCGCGTTTTCGCTTTTGCGAGGTGTAGACGGCTTCTTGAGTGGCGATTTCGTACGCTCACTTCTGCAATAATAACAAGTAAAATTTGAAATAAACTTGCACATCTTTGTAATATCGAAGTAAATCATAGGGATTAATGTTTTACTTTTTGCTGGAGTTGAGAGAGACTGGTGATAAATTGCATGTTATCGTGCTCTTTGAGGTGTTCTGAGATGCAGTTGTCACTCGCTGGGACTTCAATCCATTCGTATTTGGCGTCGAGGAGGCCGCGGGCTTCAACTTTGAGTTTGTGCGTGAATTCGGTGTACTACTTATGATTTTTACAGAATGGACGGATTCTTGAGTTTTTGAAGGAGGTGTCGACAATCCATTTTCGTTAGTTATTCGTTTAACACCTTGCTTCTGCATGCTAACCAACGGCATTATTGCTTTCATTGGTCCTTTCTTATTCACCACTTCGGTGATTGGCTTTTTTTTGATTTTGGTTTTGATTGGTTCGATTGTCGGTTTATTTGCTCCATAGATGGATTTAGATATGGGTGTTTCAATTTCTCGCTTACTCGTATCATCTACAAAACCTGGGTCGCTTGGGAAACGCTTTTTTAAATTCAAAAGATGAGACTTTCTCGTATCTTTACATGGTACATCTAGTAATTTGGGGCTATTTTTACTGTATAGTGGATTTACCGAAATACTTCGTCTAATAGAAGCTACTTCAAAAGTGGAATTCTGGAAATTACTTATATTTTAGATGATAATTATTATTTATAAAAAGATGACTTGGTAAAAAATGCTTACCGGTGTTTTCTTCACAACGAAATTTTTTTTACTTGAAGATTTATTCAAGGAACTAGTAGACCTATTTATGAGCTTAGAAGCATTGCTTCTCCGATTTTCTTTCATTACAGGTACTGGTTTTTCTTTGTTTTTTGATTCAGATGCCATGTTCAAAACCGTACTCAAACTCTTCAAAATATCAACTGCTGAATCCCCATCATTTTTGCTGACAATTTTATTCAAAGTTTGCAAAAGATTCAAAGCAAGTTTTTTATCTTCAAGTATTTCATCATTATTTTCTTGCAATTTTGACTCCTTTTTGGCATCGCTTTGTGAGTCAACGTTATCACTCGGTATGTCTTTGGACTCATTGTCAATATTCAAATCAGTAATGTCATTACTTGAATTATTACTTTTGTTTTCTAATAATTGTTCTGCATTATTTTTGTTATTACCTGTCAACTCACCATAATTGTTTGGTTTAACATTCTTAACACTCGCAGAATCTACTACTTTACTAGAATCTGTATCACTTTCATGTTCTTTTTTATCTTGAGGTGACATATTTTGCAAACACACTTGTAAAATTTCGGTATTATTGTCACACTCAACTCCAAGCATCTTCTGCAAATCAGTCAATATTTTGAAAGCATCAGGATTATTTTGTTCTTTTATTAATTTTTCAAGATCTAACAGTAATGTTGCTGTTACAGCTTTTTTGTCAGTATCTTCTGATAAAATAAATTCATTTTCCAAAGCTTTCACTTCATCTTTTGGAGACATAGTGTTTGACTCTGTAATAATAACTTCTGATAACTTTTTGATTTCAGTCTCTCCTCCAGATAGTTCAATTAAATTATCAACAGCTTCATCATCCGAAGGAGGTAAATCATCGAAATTCAGTTGTGATTTTGAAAATAGTAGATCATCTTCATTTGCTAACAAACAATAGTAAGAAATTAATATCAATTTATAAATACTTAAGCTAATTTAATTTCTTGCTTTCATTGACACTCACTATTAAAATCTTTACTATACGCCATTTTTTCAAAAGTTTCTGCAAGAGTTCTAGCTTCAGTGAGAATAATGTCATTGATACCAGTCTCATTCTATAAACAATGAAAATAATATTTAATAAATATCTATATTACTTGGTAAAATTGACAAACTATTTACTTACAGCTGAAATGGTAGCTGAATTGTAACCCACATCAATAAGCTCTCCTTCAATTTTGTGTAAACTTTCATCAATTGGTAAAGTCTTAGACTTTAATAAAAAATTATCTTTTTCCTGTGTTAATATGGCATTATTACTTTTTGGTTCCTCATGGCTTGATGACATACTTGATTTAATACGATAAAACTTTTTAATCAAATCTGATTTATCTGTTACCTTTGATGGAGATTTAAATGAAGAAACAGAGCTTGTTGAATTCAACTGTGACCTACTAGTAATAAAACCCTTATTCATTGTATCATTTACAAAAACAGATGAATTACACGATGTCATAGTATTATTTGGAATCGCTGATAAGTTTGAAATATTAGAATAAACAGAATTTTCACTACAAAGTCTATTTTGTCTTTTTTTACTCAGGGAATCTATTGTAATAGAAGATATATTTGATATTCCAGAAAAAACAGAACTATCACTGTTCAGTCTCTCTATTTTTTGCTTACTTATGTCAAATTGACTATTGAAACTACTAGCATTAGAACTTATATTACTTTTCAAGTTAGTTCTAAAAGCATTGTTAAATGGATCTTCAAAACAACTAGACTGAGAACTAAAAATAGAACTAACGTTATAAATATTACTTTTAGAAGCATCAGTAACAGACATCGATCTTCTATTACTTTTGGAGGATGTCAATCTTTCTGGAGAAAGAAAATTACACTGGGACATGGATCTTGGACGCACAAAAAAATGTATACTAGGCTCTTTTGTCAGTTGATCGTCTAAAAGTGAGTCGTTCAAAGCCGACTGATTTAAAATAGACAAGTCAGCATCGCAAGAAGCAGGAGAAACATTCAATTCAGGTATAATCTTATTATCACATCCCCAAGCTGCGTTGGCAGATTTCTCACCAGTAATATTATCAGCAATTAAATTAGTATCATTCAAATTTGTAATTATACTATCATCGACACCCGCGACAAACAAGTCCATTTTGCTCTCTGTCTCGTCAAGCGTCTTGTTCAATTTAAGAATATCCGAATGTCTTTTGCGTCTTGGCACAAAATCATCCTTAGTCTCAATCGACACATGACCCATTGCTTTCTCGATGACCCTCTCAAACGGATCCTCCTTATTCTTTTCATACTCGGTAATTTTTTTGAGCACCATGTCGAAAGGGTTGTTCTCGACACTACGACGTTGTCCGGAGGAAACTGGAGGTCCAGCCTCCGGTGATGGTATCAGAGGCGAAGCTAACATCTGAGCACCTGGACTGCTCGTGCTTGGACTATCAAAATCTATCAAGTCCGACATTTCTTTTTCTGTACACTAATACAATTTGGTTTGATATTTTATTCTTTATTGGATTGCAGATCGGAAGTATGCATTACATTTTCCAAACTGTTGATTGGATTACTCACATTAGTCACAAAGCGCATAGGCTCGTTAATAATTGTAAACAAACGCTTTGCGCGAAAATCAGCCGCGAGCCTGCAACGGGTAGTCAAACGATCGCAGGTGTCGGTTAAAATTTTGAACAGGTCAGCTGGTAAATGCGTTCCGTCTTCCGCCCCTATATTATAATTCAGTTCCGCGATGTGCGAGCTGAAGCGCCAAGTTTAAAACAATAGAACTTGAAACTTCAAATTTCATTGTTTAAATATTAATATTACCATTTTCAATTATTAACAATTCAATTAATATTGTAATATTGTGGTATAAATCAGTTTACTCAATAATTATAGTTTAACACAATATTAAAACAAAGATAGGGCAGAAAAGGAAGAACAACAGGATAATATGCAACAAATTGTGGAATAGCTTTACTGACATCTATTTAACAATTACCTCCGCAACATGAATATGTATTGTACGTAAATAGTAACCACATTATACAACACGAAAAGTGATATTGGACCGTTCCCAGCTGAGAGTGTTGGTGATTGATTTTCGTCAAACTTGGTATTATAAGTGTTGTCTATATAGTAACGAAGTTCCTTTATATAAATGTTTAGATCATTACGACAAGTAGGTCTACAACTATAAACAATTAAAAAATATTAATATCAATGTTTTAAAATAATTGTAACAGCACGAACTATCAAAGTACAAAATACAAGAGTACTTTTTCAAAAATATTCATTAAAAAAATTGTGTTTATCATTTTGTAAAGTTTTGTTTCGCCAAACTTCTTAACTGAACTTCATTCTATAAGAACCAACATTAGAATAAGTAGAGCAGATAATACAGAAAAAGCAGTAAGGGATATGGTAGCGACCGCTCCCCTATATCGCGGCGACCTCAGCCGACCGTCTGATCTCTCTGCGCTCCGGTTTTGGAGCAGTCGTGTCGAACGTGCACTTAACTAGATGCCATCTAATTTATTAAAGCAATATATTGTCTGAAGCAAATATAGCTTATCCTCTCTCAATTCTTAAGAGCAACTTCAAGTGAGCTTGCTAAATATCGGCCAGCCGGCGACGGTCGGCTTAGGACGGCGACATATAGAGTAGTGGCGCTCGCTATATCCATCCATTTTACTGCTTCTTATAGGGTGCTGGCTCCACTCATGTTAATGCTGATTCTCGTAGAATAAAATCCAAGCTATCCAACGGAGATTCGATTACTACTGCATAAATAACAATTATCGACTTTCAGGAAAATCGCTGATCTACGTAATAGTCTGGAAGAAGTCTAGTCACAATAGAAAGCATTACGTTTATCTTACACACAATAAGTACTGAAAGTTGCAATATTGCATGCATGACGATATAGTTCCATTGAAACTTCTATATCCTAAGTCCTTACACACCATCGGATTCAATGTATTTAATGTAGGAAAAAGTTAATACACGACTTATAAAATCAAGACGAATTAAGCGACACTATGCTATGACGATAAAATAACCGGAAAGCCGAGATGTGGATGTCTCTTTACTTGACCGTGGTTATGTTTTTGATGCTGGAAACGTTCCTCAACAACTCGGAAGCATTTTGCAGCAGATGCTTGGTTCCCTTGGTGTCGTCGGCGTTTTGAAACTGTACGAGTATGACTAGATAGGTGGTGACCGATCCGGCAATCTGCAATGTAAAGCACCGTTCAGAAACAGTCGCTGTGGCCGATTACGTCGCCGCGCGTATTCACCGATGTCATCAATCCACGGTCCAGATAGAAGAGTCCGCACGCGGTAAACTCGACGGGTCTCTGCAGCAGCTGCACGGAGAATATCTCCAGTTGCTTCTTCGCCTGGGGATCGCAGTTGGCGGCGAGAGCCCGGCTCACCAGAGCGCCCGTGGTCCTTGCCTGTCGGCAAAGACCGCGTTACATATGTATAAGGGATCGCGAGCGGCCGGCCGAGCCTAGGGCGCACCTTGACGGAGACCATGTAACACGGCTGGACGAAAAGTAGCAGCCGGTAGACGTGGAAGAGTATCCAGAAGACCTGCAGGATGAGCACATACCAGCTGCTGCTGTTGGGGCTGTAGATCTCGTTGTAGAGGAAGTAGGGCGTGATGATGAGGTGGATCAGACAGCTGATCGTGCCGGCGAGTATGGCCGCGCCGTAGGCCTCGTTCACGTGGACCACGCTGTCGCAGAGTGTCCCGTGCAGCGTGGTCAGCTGGTCGATCGCCTCCGACGCGCCGCCGCCACCACCACCTGCGTGTCAGCCTGTCTCGTTTGTAAATTGATCCTGACGCCGCCGCTGCGCGCTGATCACCTTCGGTAAAGTCGGAGCAGATGAGCCTGTTCGCACGGCGCAGCCGGTTGTGGTGGCCCAGCTCCGACGAGACGAATGACGAGATCGACTGGGAGATCTCGCGTCGCGGCTCCGCAACGGCTTGTCGGCACAAATCGCGAGCTTTTTCAGACTATAGCCACACACATCGAGATACGGAGCGAGCGTGCGTTTCGCGATCGTTACCGAGAGCCAGGTCCTTGCGGAAGTGGTCGACGACGAGGTTGGTCCTGGTGAGCTCCTCGATGCTCTGGTTGAGCTTGAGGAAGCGCTCGCCGACGTTGAACAGCACGATCGCGTACTGCATCTCGAAGGCTACGATCACCACGTACATGAAGTACAGCGGGCAGTAGTTGACGGGACCCTTGTCGCCGTACACGTGGTTGTTCTTCGTCGCTGACGATACGCTCCAGGACACGTAGTCGAGCGTTGAGATGACGACCAGGTAGACCAGGCTGCAGGATATGACGACGACCGACAGCTGGCGCAGCTTCCGCGACGTAACCACGCCCAGTTTCTCGTCCACCTGCTCGCAGAGGAGACGCGCGTTGATAAGTGACGCGCAGCGCGACAGTCAGACGAGAGGAATCGTGCGCACGTCGACGAGCTTGTCCAGGCCCCGCTGCAAGTGTCGCCAGCGGCGGGACGAGCCGAGGATCGCCACCACGGCCACACTGATCACGGCGAACACATCGCTGCAGGTCACCGTGATCGCCGTCTCCGATGACAGTCTCGTGCTGTTCTGCCAGCCGTTGCGCAGATCGCGGTACAGGCCCCAGCACTGCGCCCCTGCTAACGCCAGCACGAGCAGCACTCTGTTGCGCGCAAAATTGCACAGAATGGGGGAATATAGGCACCAGTTGCCTTTCGTTTGGCTGTTTGCGTAATTTCATGCAGAATTTAATGCGAGCGCGTCATTGACAACTCAGCGTATTAGCGAGTAAACGCATTCGCATTGACTTGTGACTGTTCTTCGAGCTTTCGCGCGTGTACTCTTCGCATTTTTTAATTCAATAACTTGTATTTCAGGATATAATTCGAATCAGCGAAGCATAGCCACATCGTTTTTGAATGCAGTCGCGGCTTAAAATACGCCATCAATTGCTTTCATAACAAAGACCGACCGAACTGAAAACGTACGGAAGTTGGAGCGAAGATTAGCAAAACCGAAGCTTACCCATAGCCCACTTGCGGGTAATCGAGTCGCCCGCTATACCTGCCAGTCTTGTTCACCGCGAATTTCACAGGCAACAATCCGCAAATTTTGCTTATGTGGTAGATCGGCACCAGAGTATAGAATATGTCCGACTTGGCCTGGTGAGCTTTTGCGTCCACTCCCGAGTTTTTACTCTTCGGCCTCGAAATCTTCTCTAAAAACACCAGCCACGTTCTTGTCATCCCATGCGATACATACTATCTTTTTCGTAAAACCAGTCGCGTTTGCACTTACTCACTTTGACGTCACTCCAAGCTTCCATCGCCAAGTTTTTGTTTATGTCCTTTTTGTTTTCTCGTTTTTTCTTTCTTTCAATGTTCCCGCGGGTCGTCCGCGAGCTTACAATAACAGAGTGCCGAGCTACGCGCGCTGCTCGCCAAGAAAATTACTGGGTAAACGAACCACTCGCTCATTTATTCACGAAGCGCCTGATTGCGCGAACGCGATTATTTCGAACGCTGTGAGTTTACACTTGTCTGCAGATCTGCCATTGATAATCTGTGGCGCGTAGTGCTTTGGACTTTCCTTCACGCGTCGTTGTCAGCGAATTTGAATTTCTTACGCGAAATTATATTCGAAGCACACATTGAGAAATACTGTTAGTATATATACACATGGTAATAGGACTGAAATAAATACATACGTACGTAAAATAGCACAGTATAAAATTTCTATAGATCAAAAAAATAATAATAATACCCACGATAGTTGCGCGTATAAAATTGTCGATAGTTTGAATCAGCACTTAGGATGAATCTCTCGCAACATGTCTGCAACACTGTATAACTATATATATACGTATGATGTTCTTTTACAATGTATTCCAAACGTGCCAACTTACTTCTGTAATCAACTAACCTCGGTCTCCCTTAATTTACAGCTTGATACTTATGACTATTCAAACGAGAGTCAACTCGATCTGATAATGAAGCATCAAGTTTTATTGATTCAACGTTTCGGATAATAACTAGGGAGAATATAGTCAAATCGTATTCTCTACTTGTTACAATTATTTCGTAACTCCTGAGGTCGCACGAAAAAACAGCCTGAAACGATGAATTGATAAAAGTTCGTATTTCGATCGGACAGATTGAGTTGACTCGTCTCTTGCCCTTATTAAAGTTCACGTTAAGGAGCACTCCGAAAGGGGATCAATATTACGTGAGAAAATAAATTTTTTCTTTTACGTTTGTTGCACTGTTCACTGTTGACCAACTATTCATTGAAGATAAACAATGAATGATATATGAGGGAAATTTCGTGAATCTTACCAACATCAAAATTTTAATAAATGTATTTATAGAAATTTAACCAGAAAAAATATGCAAAGACAAACGCATAATTTTCTCTACCTTCTTGAATAATGTTTAACTTCGCAAACCTTGATGTTTGAAAGGACCAGTAATTGGATCACGGGGAACAATATAATTGGTTCAGATAATTAATGTAAATAAACGATTTTATTTAATTCATTTCGCAGATATGCACACGTGCAATCGTTATCTGAGAACTACGTCAACGGCTAGATACAGTAAAGAACGCGAAAATACTCTGGCGTTTTTTATTTTTGTTTGTGGTCTGCCTCCGTCGTTTATTTGTTAATTAATCGCACCTATGTACAATTCAGGTGTCGCCCGATCAGATCGCCAATCTTGCTCTCTTCTAGTTTACCAAGTATAAAATATGTCAGCGTTCTCAGCCGAGCCAAATAACAGAAAACATTAACGACAATATTAGATTATGAGCGCCAATTACTATTTGAAACAATGTTGGGCCATCGAGAGAGAAAAAGGTAAAAATTCATTCTGCATAAGAAGACAAAATACATGCATGAAAACCATTATATACATAAACAATAAATCAATTGCAGTCTCTATCTGATCTACTAGCTAAGTAAATAACTCGTACATGAGACAGCCCAACGATCAATTAAAATTGTATTTATCACCTTGAAATTTTGAATCTGACGACTACGAATAAAATGATCTGTCACAGCCAGTCAAAAGAACGTGCTCGCAATCGACGATACATTGTAATCTCATTCACTCTATCTTTCATGCATTTCTACACGCATAATTTATTTTCACAACCATTCTCAATTCTATACACTCTCGCGCACGCGCATGATAAATCTAAAAATAAATAAATAATACGAGCCCTATGTCTTTTCGAAGAAAAAATAAATTCAATTGGCTCTGCTTGGTTCGACGATTGGTGGTTGCTGCTTCGCTTGGACAATCTGGAAGGGCACAGATTCACAGTCATCGTCCTCGTCTGGTTTCTTACAGTTGGCTGCACGATGACATGTTAAGGCGGGCTCAAGTTCACGTCGAGAAAAGCAATCGCTACATACTCGCACTGGATTGTAAAGTTGCTCGTTGGGTAATGGCGTCCAGTTCTCTGAACAGTCTGCGCAAAATATTTTGCCGCAACTTCTACAATAATTTTTTTTTACATTACTTAATTTTTATTAAAGTATGTTTTGATAATATATTATTCAATATTGAATTACCTGCAGTGATGTTTACGCCTACCAAGCCAAAACACTATGTTGCACCCTTGACATTGATTTACTGCGTGATCAGGTACCCATAAAGTTGGAGCAGGTCCAGGCTCCTCCACTGCTTCCCAAGACATGTCTGAAGGTAAAGACTCGCCGCCGTGATCAGCTGCACTTCCTACCGAATCTGGCAATGAACCCTGCGCATCGTAAAAGGAACAATTATAATACACTATGACATCATGAATTGATAGTTAATTGATTGAGACATTTTTTGTTACTCACGATTTCATCTACCCTATCAGTATCCACGGTATGATTGCAAACTTGCCTAAGCAATGCCATTCTTGTTGTGTACAGTTCCTTTTTTAGTGCTTCTTCTTTTGTCTAGCAATAGAATTTAACCTTATTAGTACATGTAAACAAATACAATTTTTTATTATGCATAATAACGTACCTTATATTCGACAATTATTTGTTGTACTCGCGTTTGAACGTCACAGTGTATGACTGGGAGACCATCGACGTCATCAAGTCTGTCTAAATTATCTAGATCCTGGTGAATCGGTGATGCCGAACAATTACTACTTGGTATTTGAGATGTTGGTGGGATATTCATATCGCTCATGTCGTTTGTTTCAACGTGCTTTACATGACTGTCGATATTGGTCGTTTCAATAAAGTTTGAATCAGGTTCTTGTACGGGAAGTTTTATTGATGATCTGATCAAATAACAATTTCACCATTTTATTACGTCATTGCAATTATTAATATACATAGCTACATCCGTATAACCAATTCAAGGTCTAGGTATGACGAAATAATAAAAAAAAATAGTCATAGTTAATTATCCACAGCAATGAAACTCACGAATCTTTTTCGGCGTCATGTTTCCCCACAGTTACATCACTATTAGGTACTAAGGTATCGGTAGAGCTATCTCCCGAGGTATTTGCATGCATCTCGATAGACACGTCTCCATTTGGTAAACTCTTTTTTTCTTCAGTCTCATTATTTTCACTAACCATGTGAGGTTTATCACTATCATTATAAGTCTCTACTTTCTCGGGTCCATTTTCTATAGTTAATGAGTCAAATTTCCTGGAAACATGAATTATACCGTGTAAAAAATAACTATGATTGAACGAGAAATTAAGGTGATGTCACAAGATATCTTACTTCTCTATAGAAATGCTTGGATCACTTAGCCTGCGATGTAAGTGTGTTGGATGGTCTTGAGCTTGAATGAGATCACCGTAAGATCGCGTTTTTGTCATTTGTCCTTGCGGCTTCTCGTTTTCACTAGTCTCGATGTCGATTACAGGTTTGATATCGTTGATACCTAAAGGAGTTTCCATCGAACCTAGATACACTTCTGACCATAGCTTCAGATCTCTTACATTGCAACTAGGCCATAATACCTATACAAAATAAATAAATAAATAAATTTGTAAACTCCAACTTAATTGAAAGCTTTCTACTTACTTTATCTTTTGACGGAGAATACAGGTGATTAACAAAAGAAGTGGAATTGAGGAAACGCCAAACAGAAAAAGATCTCTCGCGTATCCTCAATTGTAGCCTTTCTTGCCTGGTATTACAGAGAAATGTGCCGAACAATTGAGAGTACGTATGTTGAGCTAATTTTACCTAAAACACAAACGAATTATATTGCTGTCGAATTGCTCTCTGTTTATAGAAGCACTCACGAGATATGCAGATGACATCTGGAAAGCGCATTTGAATTGCTTTGTTAATTGATGCACACAGTCAAGCCATTGCAGAAATACGGGACATCTCTCATTAGGATCCTCGCATTCCACAGTATGACCACATCGATCTGCAAATTTGTGACCAAAATCGAGCCATTCGCGTTCGCACAATACTTGGAATCCCTATAAAAAAATTTAACCATTTAAAACTACTTTTTTATAATAGTTGACTTACCATTGTCATCTTTGTCTATTTATTATTTTTCATTCACGTGATAAATTGAATATAAATAAAAAGAAATGTTGAAATAATTAACATCGGTTATAATTATTTGGCGAGTTTGACATTGATATCATATATGACTGAAAGCTGTTGTGACAATATTCTGTCAAATGTCAAAGTATTCATTAAAAATTAATTATTTCTATGTTGGTGGCATATATTTGATAAGGAATAATCATTTTTATTATAACAAATGATTGATGAATTGTCAAGAATAATCATTTTGAAGAAAAAAATGTAATTATTTTTAACATAAATATTAGCATATACTACTATTTTTTCATTCATTTCAAAGATTCTTAACTTTCTATCAAGTCTTTTCAAATGGCATTGACTGGCAATTCAAAAGAAACTATAGATTAATTGAAAGTCACTCACTTCCATTGTCCGATAATAAGGATCGAGCAAGATTTGGGCGAGGGCGACGATTTGTGGTGTTCTGTCCCAACCATCACTACAATGAACTAATACTGGCCTTCCGTCTCGTTCCACCGCTGAGGCGACGGTTACAGCTGCTCTAAGCAAACCTGACATATGCTGAAACCACCTAGTGCCTTCTAACAAGCTCAACCAACTATGAAATCATAAGATATGTGTGCATTAAGTTAAAGACTTATTTATAATTTTGCTAACTACTTAAGATCAAATGAGAAAGTTAACTTACTTGCTCTGATCAGCGTCGGAGGCGCAAAGTTGTCTAACAGCGTGAAAGCTTTTGCGTATGGAGTGTATATTGGGCAGGTTCATGAACTGTATGTCGCAACTTGGGTAATACCCTGCATACTCGCAGCCGCCACCTCGCGCTCTATTGGCGATTGCTGTAGTGTAGTTTCTTGCATCAACGATCATGACTTTCTGTAAAAGAAAAAAATTAAATTTAGTGTGAATAAGTTTTGTATACATCGCTATACGATTTAATTACAAACCTTGGTAGTAGCAGGAGTAATGGGTTCATCGCCAGGTGGCTCGGAATCATTGACTGGCGAGTCGATCATTGTCGATTCACCTCTGTCATAGGAACACGCATCCGATAGAGCTTTCAGTAAATCTTCGTCCTCTGGGCTACGCCAACCAAGCCAGCCAACCATCGGCTGACTACTCCGTGCGATCACAGCTCCATTTTTAACATGCCTATATTCATTAGTAATCATTGCTTTCAGTTCTGTAATTTATATACAAAAAATTATATTACCTCCATACTATGGCGGGAATCCGCCTGGAGCTTCGAAAATTGGCACCAGCCTCGAGGATTTTATCTGTAATACACGCGGGTACAAGTAATTGAGGTGGATAGGATGGGCACATTTGGTAATCTTTGTTTATTTGACTAATACGCCAACTCCCATGCAAATTGAACTTTAATCGCTCCACCTGGAAGTTTATAACATGAATTTACTTCAGCTCGTGACGAACGCGTTTTAAGTCTGAAATGTTGCAAAATGCTCACTTCAGCATTGAAAGATGTGAGGTAAGAATTGCTATCTTTTCCTAGCCTGGGGTAATCTTTGCCTTCTTCCATAGACCATGCATAATACGCAAAGGCAAACATATCCTCAATACTTCTTTTTGGAAAGGTGACTTTGTGGAGGCGTTTGTACCACTCCCAGGATTGTTCATTGGTGGAAAAAGCACAGCTGCATAATAAAAAACAAAATATATTTCAAATGTGTAATTTCAACAATTATTTTTCAGAGAATAAGAAATACGTGCTATCATTTTTAATTAATTTCTTTTTCAAAAATTAGATTACTCTTCCTTGTTTGCATTTATTTTAAAAGGATAACAAAATTAGTTTAGACAAACCTAATCGATCGAGCATCTTTACAGCCAATGTGTAAATAGAAGATTTCTTTCACTTCCAAGTGTTCTATTAAACCCAATGGTACATTGTAACATCCTTGGCCACATTGCAGGTACAATCTATAGTTTGACAATGCCAAGACTCCATCCGAGGTACGACCCAGAGCAACAATATATTCTCCACTCAAAAGTACAAAAGGTACTGAAAGTGTTGAATCTTCACATTCAAAGTTTACAGACTTTGGAAAGAGCTCAGAGGCACGTAGATGACATATTGATTGTAGACTTGTTGGCTCTTCAGAGCTTTCCATCTCAGTCTTAGAAAAAAAAGTCAGAACAATTTTAGTCTGAAAATTAAGTTTATAATTTATTGTCTATTTTTCTAAAGATTGAATTTCATCTGACTTAATATAGTGTTTCATGTATCTATGTAGATCTGTCTGATATTTTTTATAGTTCATGATCTATGAAATGCATCTTGTGTTGATATTATATGCTTTATAAACAGTTTTTTTGACATTTAAATTTATTTTCTACAACGCATAAGATACTGATAAAGATTTACAATGAATATTTCCTGAAAGTTATAGCAGAAAAAGTTAACATATGATATCACAAAAATGCTTAATAATTGTGTACATTATTAAGTTTATTTACAGATGAAAGTTTTAGATGGAGAAAAAAACATTCAATACCAAAACTGACTTTTTAGTTACGTTTTCAATAACAACATATGACCGAATGTTTACTTTGTTATAAGAAAGTTCATAGGGGACGTGTGCGTCGATAACACCTTATCTCATGATTTCAATACAAAACTGTTTAATCAAGTGCATTGTTGCAAGTACTCGCACCGGACCAGAACAAAGTAAAAATTCAACAGCACGCACAGCATGCAACTTGAATATGTGTCTGTGTATATATATCTATATATATATACATATACATATATACATATATTCAAGTCAGTCAACGCGGAGAGACGTCAATATATGCGTGCTACAAGTAACCAACAATTTTCACGCATCAATCGGTACGGACAATAAAAAACGTTCGCTATTGATAGGCGTGCTTACAATATACTTTCTCATGTATATTAGGGCAGAAAGTGCAACATTCCTAATTGATAAACAACAAACGATAACTCACCTCTTGAGCCTGTTGACTCAGCCACTATTTACCCAAGACTCCGAGGGTCTAGGTTCAATAAATTGTTTAGAACGTCGTGTAGACAGGCAAGGTCTTCCTGTAAGCAGACAGCAATACGACGCACGTAAACAATACCGCTCAACTTCAGACACGACGTACACAAATGCAGCTTGCGGCTACTTTCTAATTTTTCGCGCAAGGACGCTTCCCGTAAATTTAGCATCAGCGCAAAAAACATACGCCTCTCTCAACTTTTCAGTTCTTTTAGCAACTTTATAAATAAAATGCCTACTACAATCGCGAGGCGCTTATGCAACTGGAGAGTGGGAGAGACAGACACAGACAGAGTGAGGCAGATAGTAAGACAATAAACAAGGACGAGCGAAAGAGTGTTGCGAGTCTGTGCTAAAAGGAAAGTTGGAAAATTTTCTCGAAATTCTTACGTGACCACCGACATTCACACAAACTGCTTTATAATTGCAGAAAGAAGCCGAAAAATCGATCGGCGAAATTTTCGCAACGTCACGCTCTTTCTCTCTCTTTTGCGCTTGCAGACGGGAGATTCTCGCGGGGAGCCTGCGCGCTAATGGCTTGTGTCCTCGTCGTAGACAACACACACTCACAGCATGCTACACATACGTATGCGCATTTGTATACTCGCATTCACAGTATAGACTGCAGAAAATTAATTATACGAAAGCGATTGATGTTTGCGAAAATTGAGCACTATCACTTGTGAACGCACGCTGACAACGGATGAAAAAATGAGAGAGAGAGAGAGAGAGAGAGAGGGATCGATTCTGACACTTGTGACTATACTGCATACCTTCACCAAAAGCAAAACAATGGCGCGCGCACTCGCCAGGCGCATCTATGTCAAGACAACCATCGCGAACATCGCTTCAATGCACAATTTGCTATTGATGATGATGTATACTCGAAAAGAATAATTGCAGCCACAAGATGAACGAATGGCAAGAATGACTTCGATACAACGGAAGAGCTGACAACTCTGAACAACTTGAATGTATACAGCTCTCTGCACACAACAGACGCAGACCTGACCAGATATGCAGAATGCCACTGCCAGATGTAAACCGAGCGCGAGTGCAACTGACTGTCAGCCAACCAGGGATGGTCTGGTTTCGCGTCACGCGTACATAAGTTGTTTTAGTTTTGATATATTCCTCCAGATTAAAAAGTTAATAAACCGAAAAGCATCACGTTTACAGTGTTCTGCACAAAGATTTGCTATCTAGATTTTAATGGGAAATAGGGAAAATAAACAATTGACTCAAGTATTAAGTCAGATTATTAAAATATTATTATAATTAAAGTTCCGTTGGCATATCACTAATCTTCATAGAAGAAATGAAAGCTCAGTTTAATGACAAAGTAATGTCTTGTACACATTTATTTTCAAATCACCTAAACTCCAGATTGATCAGTTTCTCTTTACTTTGTTTCAAACATGAGGTCATTATTCTTTTCATTATCAACAAAACATCTTGAGCGTATAAAAATTTTACAACTAATATTTAATCGATGAGTGGGCAAGAAAGTACAAATACAGTTTACTTTTTATGCCACTTGAGTACAACATGGATAATTTTCCTGACTCAAATGCAGCAATGAGTAAGAATGCACCAAACTCCAGATGTCTTCAGACTTTAATCATTGTTTCCAAAAATTTGGGTTTTGTTGTAACCGTCTTTCAAATGTCTCATACCAACCTTGTATAGAGGATAGAGGCACATAATTTTCTGTAGGATTTGGCGTCATCTGTGCTTGTGTTACCGAAAAACTAGATACATAGTTCAAAAAACCAGTAATCATTTTTTGTGCAAATTCTACAAACGTGTTTGTTGAGGTTTGAGTAGCTATAGCTGCTTGTTGTTCTATAATGTGAAGAGGATCAACAGACACACCAATCTGAGCAACATGAGAAATATTTTGCCCAAACACTCCAAGATTAGTATTTTCAAACTCATGATTTTTTTTCAAATTTGAAATTTTGAAAATTGCAGATGGTTTACTATTTGATATATATCCTAAAAACTGCCAATTTGGAGGTGAGTTTGGATCAGGCCAACTAAAGTATACTGTACAATAAAAAAAATTAGCTTAAATTCAGACTTTATATTGTAATATACACATATATAAACTATAAACATACCAGCACCACCCATGCCTTCTGCAAATGGAACTGTTCCTGTGAGGAAAACAACTACATGGTTGATGTTGTCAGCATCAGGAACTGTTATTAGAAAGTGGTGATCAGTAATTTGTGCAAAATCTGTTTGAACCTGAAATACATATGGAATGTTTGTTAGTTAAAATAATGTAAACCAAATGTTTAACAATATTTTATTAATCGCATTCTAAATAATATTTAATAAATAAGGGTTAATGAATAATTTAAAAAAGATTGATAGTATAAATTTTTTTTGGGAACAGTAGATCATTTTTAAAGCTTAAATAACTTTTTGGCACTTGTAGAATTTTCTAGAATTCAACAGCGGATGCCGGCATTGAAGTTTATAACACCGGTAAATACATACTGACAAATTTAGAGCAAGTACAAAATATATAAACTTACCAGTCGTCCAGACACAATCAATCCCATCATACTCATTTTTATGATTTTTTTAACTTATCACTACTGTATAAAAGTAAAAAACTTTAAGACGTCTCGCCAATGTTTTGCATCTGCCAATAGAAAACGCTTGTCAGGCAGCCTGATCGACGCGTATAGACCAGATGGTTTTCCCTGATTTAGGGACCCAATTATAGGTTATGTGTGCGAATCTGAGCTTGATCGCGCCTGACTAAGCCTGATTAATGTTGAATTACTGCCTGACCAATAAAAGAATGTCGTACTGGAAAATATCAGAATAATTTTTCCATAAAAACCAAAATCCAACAAAGCACACAGTGTAATTTAAACTTTCAATTGAATTTTCGCCAGAATTTTTAACATTTTTCTCAAATAAATGTTTGATGAAGAAAATTTGATTAGCAACAGTCGATAAAATAGACTATAATTTTGGAAAATTTGAATTATATAAATAATCAATAGTTAATACAATTTTTTAAATATTCCTATAAGGTGGTTATTTATTTGTATTTTATGTACAGAATTATTAAAATTATTTTAACTCTATTGCAAATATTTACAAATAATAAGCACTGTCCACATCTTATTAAGGATCTTGACGATACATCGAAAAACCATGGACTGGAAATCTTTTCAAATGATCTTTCAATACAGTAGGAAACATTGAAACTACCTTGAAACAGTTACCCATTTCCTCACTACCTGTAATTTTTTTATATCCAGATTCTAGTTGTTTTTTTTGTTCTGGTGTTGCAGTTTTCAAAAGATTCATCAGTCGTACATTAATTCCCATTTCAACCAGGAACTCTTGTTGAGTAACAGGCCCGTAACACAACAAGTTCCTAGTTTCTTTAGCAGCTTTTTTCAGCAAACTAAAATCAACATCAGCTGTCAAATCTGCACTTCCAGGTTTTAATAATGGATCACACTGTTTATGTTGCTTAAAAGCTCTAAAAGTATCAGTTTTTTCACCATCATGACCATAATCAATAATAAGTGAAAATCCTCCATTCTGTGTGATAGCTGCAGAAATATACTTGATAATTTGCATTGCTTCCATACTAACTTCAATATGATCTCTTTGTTCATCTTTACTTATGAGGCTATTACAAGCTTCAGTTTTGGCTAAAACAAATCTAAATTTTTCTTCTCCTTGGCTTGTTGAATCAACATCTACAAGTACTTCGAACCAGCCATTTTTTGTTTTCTGAAACTTGTGTATTGGCAGAGCATCAAAAAATTCTTGAGCAAGAAAAACTGAAAAACCATGAGGTATGTCAACAATAGACTTGTACCAAAATACTTCAACATTATCAGTTGTTTTTCCTTTTTTGTAATAGTACTGACCACTACATGAATCTTTATCTAAATCTGATTCAGATACACACAATTTTTTTTTTTGTATTTCAGAAAGAACAGGACTCACTTCTACTAAATGCAATGAGATTCGTTCACTCATTTTCAATTTATTGAACACTCTTAATAAATCATTGGACAGAGTACCTCGGCCAGGGCCAAGTTCAACAATTTGAAATGGTTTACCATGCATCTTTTTACACTCACTCACAATCCACACAGCTATCATTTCACCAAATAATTGACTGATTTCTGGAGATGTTGTGAAATCACCTTCCTGTCCTAAAATATCTTTGTTTATGTAATAACCTTTAGTAGGATGGGTGAGCACTTGTTTCATATAATGAGCAACACTGACAGGTCCTGATAATTTGATTTTCATAGCTAAATCTCTGCTCAAAGAGTTTTTATCATTATTTATATCATTCCGAGCTAATATACTCTGATTTTCAATTTTATTTACTGTAGTAGAAATAAATAAAAATCGGTCAAAATGATATTTCATGTGAGAACGATTACTTGCATTGTGGTACACTTTACGTATTATATTATTCATGTTGAACTATTTTTTTTTTCACATGCTCTGCTATAACATTTATTAAAGTAACTTTTCCTGAAGTGATGAGGTACACGTGAGTTTTGTTTTCATTCTGCTCATGTCATATACTATAAATACTACTATACTAGTACTAGATTACAAGGACGGGACGTACATACATACTAGGACTAGGTCTCAAGTCTCACCGGTGTCGCCGCCTATCGCTTCTACAAGCATTAGCCATAGCAGAGATTTCTAATCTCTGGCCATAGCCATTAAGATAGACAGCTTATTGATTTAATGATTTTACATAAATTGGAATGATACATCAACAAGTATAAAATATAAGTAAAAAAATAAACTAAAGTAAAATCCCACGTAAATACTAAGTATCATTTTTACAAATAAATTTCATACCACGAAGCTCTTGCTCAATTTAACATTCTCGATTTTTAGTTATTTGACATTTTTGGGATTGAAACATGCCGTAGGTCGCTACCAAGAATCTTGATACTCTGATGTGGAAGCTCCTTCTCGACTTAGTAAAATAATATAAAAATTGTGTGTCGAGTTAACTGACGTTATTATTTCAAATTGTATCTTCACTGAATTTTCACGAAGCTATAATACAATTCACTCCATTTATATTAAATTTGACGCAAGTGTAAGAAAGTGAGTTGATCACTGTATGGAGGCGATTACGCGGTCGACAGCGAAGCAAGGTTGAAGAGGAAGGCCGTTTCAACCGGAGTAAGTCATAAATGTAGAATATATCGCGCGCTACTAAATTACTTATAAAGTGAAAAGCATTACAATTCATCGGCCGCGACACACATTTCTTTCACGTATACACAGACGCGCCGCATGCGCAAGTATATATTACATCAAGCGCCGCGCCCAGCGCAACAATAGCTCGATCTGAAAAATGTTTACTCGAGCTAAAAGCGAAGCCGTGGACAGCTTGCGGTGGTTCAATTTGCGAAGTGACACGCGCGCGCGCGCACTTGTATACTTCGCTCGATCATTTATTCAGCGCAGAGCCGAGTTGGCCTATCGATTCGTACGACACACGCGAAACCGGCTTCTTTCGCCTTGTCTGCTCCGAGGGCGATTCTAGCCAGACAGAGATTTTCAGCGCGTTCGAATGGGCTATCGCGAAAATTGACTTGCCACGAATGTTTGGCTTCAAGTGTAAATTTGTTATTCGCTTGCCCTCACGAGAGCGACGTAATTACGAGCTCTACGAAAGCGACTATAGCGCGGAAATTATACCGTGTAACGCCTTCTCCATTTCCCGAGACGTTAACATTTATTTTTTTATGTCAAACGTTGAATTTGGAAAGGGTTTCATTACACATACTCGCCGATCAAAACGTATCGTGAGAAATTGAGGGGAGAACGATAACCGCGCCCCACTTGCCAAGCGATGAATTAACAACAACGACGCCGCCGACGATTGCAAGCTCGGTAAAACGGACTCGCATACCCCTCCACGCGCGCGAGCCTCGCTCGAGTTAACCGAGTGTGTCAGGGACTACACCCTTGACAGTCCGAGCAACAAGCGCCGCGCGGTGGCTCGTCAGCGGTAAGTGACAATCCATTGCAGAGCCGCGCATAGGACGGTGGCGTTCCATGGACACCATACTTTTCTCTCCCAAAGGCAGACCGTACGTATATTTGATCCCTCGTTAATCGCGTTTGTCTCTACCTCGGACGCGAGCGACTGCGAGAAAGCCACAGGCCATTCGTGTAAGATCGTCCGGGCGAAAGTTCGTCGTACGCGGTAAGCTGAGACGAGAACGGCGGAACACTTGCGAATCCTTTCGCGGTGCGCGTCGCCGCGGCTCCGAAGAAACTTCCAATCCGAACGGCTGCGCGTCGGCATCGAAAGGCCCCAGTCTCGCGAGTCCCGCGCGCCTATCAGTCCAAATGAGGCGCAATCTTCGCGATCAAGCCCAGCAAAGCCAAAGCGAGCGCAGCTGTTGTGACAGCGCGGTTGTTATGGCGATGCGGGCGCCGATCGCACGCCAAATCACCCGTTGTCTCCTTCGCGCGCGCACACACGTATGCACACGTAAGCACGCATCGGCCCGCCGCGGCGACGGCCGAAGATCATTATCAGGCGCGCCGTGCTGCCTCGCGCTGGCGGCTATAGTCTGCAGGAGAACGCCCCGCCGCCGCCACCATTCGCCATCGCACGTACGTTTCTTCGGCTGACCGGAAACATTTTTCTCCGACGAAAATTCCGGTGAGCGGTTCTCGCAGATTCGCTCGTTCCGTCTACCCATTCTCGATCGTTTTGTGGTCTGCAGAGATAATTTTTTTTATATTTTTTACATATGATTGTCGACGGCGAGCATTACGTTATAATAATAAGAAAAATACGTTTTCTTTATTCATCACGAAGTGTTTTATAATTTGTGTTAAGCAATGCTGTTTTCGACACGTCTCTCATCTCATTATCATAGAATACTAAGCGATGGGAAATTATTAAAATTTGTTTTTTCATGTACATTTTGTTTTTATTCCCATATTTTCAAGTAGAATCATTTATTCTTCATGATTATATAATTGTACTAATTATAAGAATCTTTACAGTTATCGATTGGTTTTAGGTCAAAGAAACTAGTAGACTTCGAGAATGAAATATTTATTTATTTTAATCTTTATCAACTTTATTCCTTTTTTTGTTTGTCAATAAGAACAATAACTACTTTTTATTTATTTTTAACTGCATACTACTCGGGTTCTTCATTACCCAACTTTAACAATAATTGAGGTTTGTATTTTATCGATTCAATATTATTTATTCTTATTCTTATATTAGACATTTTAGAATACACTAGATATCCTTTTCGGAGTAAAATTATTGCAAAATAGGAAAGAAATTTGTTGGCATGATAAAATCATTTTGCTGAATTAACAATTAAATTTTTCTAACAAAAAATTGTAAAAAAAACATGAAAAACCAACTCAATTTATCTATATTAATCAGCCTGTTTTTCTTCAAATTAAAGCGGATAACTTGTTTTTTCGATTTCGTATAATAATTTGTCGCGCGAAATTTTTGCGCTAATTGCCTCTGTGAAGTCATTAGAAAGCAAGCTCAATTTGTCATGTCCATACTGCACAAGTACCAGCACCCCCATGATCCCCAACATCCTCGACACACACGCGCACGCACGCACACAAGCGCACCGATTGAAAGTAGGCGCACGTGGTTGGGATTGCCTCACTCTTGATAATCGCGAAATATGCCTATCCTCGTTGGTTGCACGTAAGATAGTCGGCGTGCACGTCGTCGTGGCGTAGTCACACGGCCGAAGCGAATGACGCGAGCTACTCTCGACAGGCACGCTCGACAGGCCGCAAAGTGCTACCACCAGGCAGGAGATTGAGATGATCAATAAGGCTCAGCGAGCCGCGGTCAACACAACGGACATCATCGAGAAGCTGCGACTGCTCTGCCTGGCCCGGGGTGCCCATGGCATTCTTGGCCTGGGCAGGTAAGTGGACTTCACGCTTCCGTCGCTTTCCTGCGCGTTTGTTCAGTACTAACCAAGTGGTTTTTCTTGTTTAAACGGAGAAAACTCGATATTTCATACGCGTTTTATGTTACTGTCGACGTTAATGTTTGGCAAATGTTTGAACATGCAATTAACATTTTTGCGAAGCTTATAAACGTATGTCATTTTAAAGTCTGTACTCAATTTTACTCCCGCAAGAAAGTCGCAATCTTATAGTCTGATATTTTTATTCCTTTGCTGGGTCTTTTATTACGTTCACGATCAATGATTCCATCATTGAACAGCAACAGTGCGTCATTACTCAACGGATATCTATTAGCGTAGATACGTCCTTGCCACGGCAATGGTCAGTGGCTTTACGTTTAGCACCAATTAACTTTTCCTTTGCTACGCGATGATGATTCAAGCAATTCGTGGAATCAGCTCGTAGTTGGCTCGCTTCTTCGACGGAAAAAATCCATTTAAATTGGAATTGCACCTTTCGTTATTGCGAGTATTGCTTCGTTACGTAATAATACGATAAACGTCGGAATGAACAATCGCAAAGCAGTCAACTGCGTAAAAACGGTACTGTGAAGCAGTATTTGTTCTATGGTAAAAGCGCTCAACAAAATATTTTCTCTGTGTTTTATAGAGTGTTCCGACGAATGGACCAAGATGGCAACAAGCAATTGAATCAAGTAGAACTAACGGATGGACTCGCAGAGTGTGGACTAGAGCTGTCAGACGATGAGATATCGGCATTGTTTGATAAACTAGATTGTGACGATAGCGGGGGCATCAGCGTTGACGAATTCATCACTTCGGTCAGAGTAAGTAATTTATACTATATGCCAACGAAATTGCCTGGGAGTAATATCACTTTCATAATACGGAAACAATCGTTCAGCCACCTATGAATGACAGTCGGAAAAAGCTCGTAGAGTTAGCGTATCAAAAAATGGACAAAACTGGTGACGGCGAGATTAGCATCGATGACTTAAAGGGTCTGTATAATGTAAAATGCCACCCTCGCTATATTAGCGGTGAAGAGAGTGAAGAGAGCATACTAAATAAATTCCTTGCCAACTTCGAACAAAATGCTACGAAAGATGGAATGGTAATTAACATTGCTCAAGAATATTTGAATATGTGAAGCGCGATAATTCCAATCTAATGCTCTATTTTTTTCAGGTCACATTTGATGAATTTTTAAATTATTATAGTGCCATAAGTGCCAGTATTGACAACGATGCTTATTTTGACTTAATGATTCGTAACGCTTATAAGCTTTAAAAGAAAAATATAGTGATATCACTCAAAAATGGAATATATTTCGTTTATAAAAATTTATAAATTGTATCAACACAGCTTCCACAGTTCACTTTTAAATACCACTGAGTATTTGATATAAAAAAGTGTATGTGATTCTGATTAATTCAATAAAATTCAACATGTACACGTAGTCATTATTAATTAAGAGCTTCTACATATTACATTATTAGAGAGTGTATAAATGTAGCATAGAATTATAGCAAATTTCTGAAGAATATACTTATGTGCTTGAAAATGATATTTACGAAGACAGTAATTATACATTAGCGATTTTTAGCAAAAAGTTTGATAAAATTGAGCTTCAACTCGAAAGCTTTAAAAGAATTTTTATCAAATAAATATCATGTTTACGAAAATTGATATAAGTGAAAAATTTCTTTTTAGTAATTAGAATCTAAAATTTATTTCAACATTTTTAACAGGAAAATCAGAAATTATATCGTTAGAATAAATTTTGTTCAAAATATCTGATTCTATATACATTAGAGAAAGTAACGATAAAATTCTATATACACAGAGAAAGATAAATTTAACTTATCATTATGATGGTACTTCTGTGTTTACTTTTAATCAATTTTAAATTTGAAAATGATCTTTCTCCACTATAATGAGTCACCATTATGCTTAAAAATATTTGGAAACAAATTTCAATGTTAGGAAAGTACTTTACTTTAAAAGCACTAATTTTTTAGCATTTAAGAGAAATCAACAATATTTAATAATATTTAACCTTTATGTTTATATTTTCCGTATTTTTTAAATTGAATACATTCGAATATCAAATATTCTTTAGATATATATTTATCGTACATTTTTGCAAGATTTTTGTAATAAGATGAAATTTCTTCATCGTTTAAAGTCCGCAATGTCGTAAAAAATGTAGTTAGAATTTATACATTTATGCGTTACATTGGGGTTTTTAATATTAACACTTAGCGAGTCAAATTTGCAATTACTTCTATTTTTTATTCTTTAATTTTAGGAAGGAGGGGTGGGGGAATTACTTATAAACTTGTTTCAGATGTAGTCTGATTCAAATAGCTGACAAATTTTCCGAATATTTTGAGTATTTATAGCAATCTCTGACATACATTTACTGTATTTTAACTAAGTTACATTAGTTACTTATCACGTGAGTGAAACTGCCAAAGAATACCGAAAACGCATAGTAACACGAATCTATATTCTCGTTAATATACTCTTAATTATTACATGAATGATATGAGATTAGGCTTATAGAAATCTTATTTAAATATTAAAAATAATGAAGCTAAATACTATGAAATAAATTTGTTTTATTAGCTGACTATCATTTTTTTGTTGAAAAAGGCCTTCGAGAATTCGAGCTTTGCATCTCAGTTAATTAAAATCTTGAAAGCAAGTGGAAAGACTTACCGGTAACTACAGGAGATTCGCGTGGCACAGTAAAAGCCAGCCCATAGCGAGATCGTCAGTATCGTTTAGTCTGCAAAAAATGCAGTTTAAACTTTTAACAGTCTATACGAAGTACTAGCTAGAATATCGAAGAGTAAGATTTGTTTTTTTGCCCGAGCCCCGCGCACGTGAGGTATATTGCACAGGAGCGGAAATTTGGTTATTTAAGATCAGGTCAAGTATTTATCTCTCTGTCCTTTTATGCTTACGTCATGGTAGACTCGTTCGACATAGCGATAGATCGTAGCGTTAGATATAAGCTTGGTCAGTGTTCGATAGCAAGGCGTTTCATCGTCAACTACCCTGCGTATTTTTGTATAGTGTCCACGCTGACTCGCCGGGCAATTCGAACCTGCATTGCCCAGGTTGGATTAAGTTCAGTTCGATTTCGTCTAAGTTTTTATATTCTTTGTTAATAAATTAATAGTTTTATGGTAAATGATTTATTAGTAGTTTCCTTTGTTGACATCTCCTCTTCTTTCCCCAACCGGTTGCTAAGAGCGAGTGCGCCTCTCTTATCCTCCTTTCTACAGAATTGGTAATGCAAAGCAATTCCGTTACAAAGACAAAGATTATAAAAGCGTGAGGAGGAACGTATCCAGATTGACTTGGTAACTAATTTGCACTCGAGGTCATTGATAAATGTATAGTTCTGCAGTATTTTTTTGTTAATATTGTGACGAATCGATATAATCGATGGCTCGCTCGATGCGGTCTCGCGAGCGACTTCATGCCAAGGCTGGCTGAAGGAGCTGCTCGGGCCGCGGAGCGCGGCAGACTCTGTTCTCCCGCCGCCGAAGCAACAACAGCTGCAGAGGGCTCCGTCCTATTTGCATAGTATAAGAAGAAGGATAGTCCTCAAATAGTGTTTGTTGCAGTCTCTTGGATCAAGGACAAATGGATAATTGGAGCATTGCATCATCAATGAAGAATTCTCCATGATCGCTATTGGCGCGGATTCGACGAATTTAGAGATAAGTAACCTGATTTACGTCGGCCGCCTGAGAACACGAACCGTTAATTTCGAATTATTTGAAATAAAAAATATTAAATTGGAAACGAAAGGGCCGTTCGCGCGAAAAAGAGAACAAATAGAAATGACAAATGAATAAGAGTATTTAGAATGTAAAAATATAACGATAGATAAGATTATAGCTGCAACGCGTATTTCATTTAGTTGTGTGAAAGAAAAGATTAACGAGAATTAAACCCATTGATATTATTTTATGATGTGACTTATAACGAACATTTGAATTTTTATGAAGAATAAGGCGTATTTAACTTAGTATGTGAGTGTGAAATTGAGTAAGTGTGTGAGTGTGAAATGAATGAGTTGCGAAAATGTTTAAATTTGAAATGAGTGAAAGAATGAGTAGAACAATAAGTGAGTGTGCGATGAATGTAATATATTCATATACGATGCGGAAAATCATAAGCGGATTAGATTAAGTATAATTTTAGATTGGATTTTATGTTAATTTCATATTGGATTTGATCATTTATGTCTCATTGTTCTATCGGTGAATAAATACTGAGATGGTCAGTGTTGAGATTTGACATTGGCTTTAGTGTTTCTTGCATTCCTAATCTTAAATATGTAACCACTGATTTGAATACAATAATATTTAAATATAATATTTACAATATGTTTGAGATTTGCCGAATAATCGCGTGTGAGCTTGAGTATAAATAAGTCAATGCGAGGTATATCAGCTTTGTTATAAATGGTGCTGTCACTTGTGAAATGCTTATTATCTTTGAGGTGGTAAATGTGTAAGCACGCTCTGGGTCACACGTTTAAACTTGTGAAGCTTTTAGCTTCTCAGCTGTAGGCAGCATTAATGTTCCACCAGGTGGAGGCATAGATAGCAAATAATTTTAGCTTTAGCCGTAAAACTTCTATCGACAAAAATATTTGAGTATTGAATGACAGTAAAAGCAAAATGCATCGGCCAGGAATCGAATCCGGGCCTGCCTGACAAGCGAACCAATGCTTGTATGATTTAAAAAGTATAGTTTCGTCTGGTGAGAATTAAAAATTGAACAATATAAAAAATTTATGACGATCACTGAATGAAAGTAAAAGTAAAATGCATCGGCCGGGAATCGAACCCGGGCCGCCCGCGTGGCAGGCGAGCATTCTACCACTGAACCACCGATGCTTGTACGATTTAAAAAATACAGCTTCGTCGGGTGAGAATTAAAAATTGAACAATATAAAAAGAATATGGTGATCATTGCACGAGAGTAAAAGTAAAATGCATCGGCCGGGAATCGAACCGTTTTTTTTTTTTTCAAAATGACTTTATTTGCTTAACAGATTACAATATGGATAGATAGGTAGGCGCAAACATGTCAATTATTTTCTTTAAGAGTTTTTTTAATATTTTCAAAGACAGTGAAATCAATGGACTTGATTGTAAACTCATTAGCGATTGTATTATGAACTGAAAAATCTTTTTTTGTCATTCCAAAATTTTTGAGAAGTGTCACGAGATTCTTGAAAGTAATTTCTTGAACAAAGATCGGCGGTGGAGTTCCATTGAGTAGTGGGGCGGTCGATGCTTCGGTGCTGCCGTCTGCTCTTTTCGGTTCAGTGCCGTCAGGCTGTCTAGTAGGTGTCTGGTTACCTTCGTTCGTCGAAGTCTTATCAGCCGCTCGGGCCGCGTTCAGCTTCTTTTGTTTTGCGTGATTTCCTTGGTCAACTATGTCATTCTCGCCGTTGGCGGGCTCGATATCCATTTGATCGTCAGTAGATTGGCTTGCAAGTAGTGTATAGCGATTGCTGATATGTGTGAGATTTTCGGGAAAACCCTGCGCATGCGATTGCGAGCGCGATTGCGTGAAGGTTCTCTTTGGGCGTGTGCCGTATTGCCAATTATCATTTTGCTGAAGGTCATAATGCCAGTTGTCATCTTGAGAAATTTGAGATGCAGCGCGTTTGTTTGTTTCGAGATGTGAGGCGGGCGCTTACGTGAGGGCCGGTGTATATGGTTGCGACTGTGGTAGCGGTTTGTTGATTCTTCGTGGAATGTTGGTAGGAGCTATTTGTTGATTTTGTTTGTTTGCTTGTTGAAATACTTTATCGCAGTAAAGTCTGACGGCGTTCGCATCACGATAATTTGGTGGCTTCATCCTGTTGAAGGCAGTCAAGAACGAACTTGACGTAATTATTGGTGTTGCTTGTGTAGACGGGATTGGTTTTGTGTTGACAGTTGTCGTCAACGTATGGGTCGTGGAGGTTTGGGTTGATATGGGTGTAGTAACTGTCGGAGATGCACCCGGGAGGGTGTGCCGGGGGCTCGTACTGATCCCGTCACTCATCGTTAGGTTTAAAACTGAGTTTCTCCTTCAAAGGAGGAAAAGTAAAGAAGCAGGCGGAGAGGACGCAGGCGTGCGCCACTCTCCGCTACACGTAGTAAGGGAATACACTTGCTATTTTTCACTTAAACGATTTCACTTATCACAACAGGGGGATAAGCGGCACAGAGTGCCATGAACGAGTTTTGAATGTGTAGGAAGCACTGCACGTAAAACTGTATGTAGACTCAGAAATTAGCGGTATCGAATTGCCTTGGCGCTGACGTGAATTTAGCGGCTTTTTGCCGGGAATCGAACCCGGGTCGCCCGCGTGGCAGGCGAGCATTCTACCACTGAACCACCGATGCTTGTACGATTTAAAAAATACAGCTTCGTCGGGTGAGAATTAAAAATTGAACAATATGAAAAGAATATGGTGATCATTGCACGAGAATAAAAGTAAAATGCATCGGCCGGGAATCGAACCCGGGTCGCCCGCGTGGCAGGCGAGCATTCTACCACTGAACCACCGATGCTTGTACGATTTAAAAAATACAGCTTCGTCGGGTGAGAATTAAAAATTGAACAATATGAAAAGAATATGGTGATCATTGCACGAGAGTAAAAGTAAAATGCATCGGCCGGGAATCGAACCCGGGTCGCCCGCGTGGCAGGCGAGCATTCTACCACTGAACCACCGATGCTTGTAAGATTTAAAAAATACAGCTTCATCGGGTGAGAATTAAAAATTGAACAATATAAAAAAATTATGATGATCATTGCACGAGAGTAAAAGTAAAATGCATCGGCCGGGAATCGAACCCGGGCCGCCCGCGTGGCAGGCGAGCATTCTACCACTGAACCACCGATGCTTGTACGATTTAAAAAATACAGCTTCGTCGGGTGAGAATTAAAAATTGAACAATATAAAAAGAATATGGTGATCATTGCACGAGAGTAAAAGTAAAATGCATCGGCCGGGAATCGAACCCGGGTCGCCCGCGTGGCAGGCGAGCATTCTACCACTGAACCACCGATGCTTGTAAGATTTAAAAAATACAGCTTCATCGGGTGAGAATTAAAAATTGAACAATATAAAAAAATTATGATGATCATTGCACGAGAGTAAAAGTAAAATGCATCGGCCGGGAATCGAACCCGGGCCGCCCGCGTGGCAGGCGAGCATTCTACCACTGAACCACCGATGCTTATAAGGATGGATGGTAAAATGCTACATATGTATATCATATAATTAATTAAATGGAAAAATTTTGCAAGTTATTTAAACGAATGAAATGAAAGTAATAGTATTTCTAAATCGACACAGTACGTTATAAAAAATTATAATTTCAATAATTTATACAATTATAATTCAAAATAAAGTTATAGATTACAATTACTGCTAAATGATTTGACATTATAAATTAATATAAAGTGTATGACATTTATAATTAGTTTATCAAATGCAAAATGTGCATCGGCCGGGAATCTAACTTTTTTTTTTGTGTAAAAATGTTTATTTGCTTAAGAACTTGACAATTACATTTTTGATTACAGGTGCAAATGAACTTACAAAATAAAACCTTAATCTAGCTGTTTTACAGAATATGTGGCTCTAGTTGGGCAACTCGTATTCTACATTTATCGTCGATTGGTGTAATAGAAAAGTTAGGGAGAATGTAGCGAATGGCAAATTCGTCTAAGTGCTAAAATTATTTGATTGGTATTGATGCTCGCAGGAAAAGACAGTTTAGTAAAACCTCTGGTTCGTAGTCGGATTTACTTAAAACTAGAAGCTAAATACTAATTAGAACTAAAAACTACTACGATAAATCTATACAAAAATAAACTGTCAAAGACAGTGTAATAGCATATGTCAAATAACTACAGCATTGAAAGTATATTAATGTATAAGAATGAATAAATACATGTAAAGCTATACGGACTCGTACGTAATACTGCTTACTTCCTCTTAGCGCGACGTCGTAGCTTATCTAGGTGTTTGAATCGGAATTTGAGTCGGAATCGAACCCGCGGACCGCCCACGTGGCAGACGAGCATTCTACCACTGAACCATCGATGTTTGTAAGGATAGATAGTATAATGCCACATATGTATATCATAATTAATTAAATGGAAAAATTTTACGAGTTATCTAAACGAATGAAATGAAAAGTAATAGTATTTCTAAATAAACGCAGCACGATATTAGAAATTATAATTTCAATAATTTATACAATTACAATTAAAAATAAAGTTCTAGATTGCGATTATTGCTGAATGATTTGATACTATAAATTAATAAAAATTGTGTGCCATTTATAATTTGTTTATCAAATGCAAAATGTGCATCGGCCGGGAATCGAACCCGGGCCGCCCGCGTGGCAGGCGAGCATTCTACCACTGAACCACCGATGCTTGATTTTGAGTTTATTAGCGACGTATTGCAAATTGTGAAAGTTCCACTTATATAATTTTAATATACATAAGAATACTACAGATTTTTTTAATTTACTTATAATTGTATCGAAGTATATTTAATTAAGTAATTAATACAATTTCAATAGTTAATACAATTAATTTTTTCTTCTATTAGTCAATTAGAAGTTTTAGTTTACGCCTAAGAATTATCTCTATCTTATTTTTTACAGTGTTACAATTTAGACATTAGGTAAATTATAGCTTAATAAATCAATATTGTATTTCTCCTCAGTGTTGATCCATCAAATTATCAACTTGACTAGATTCTCGTTAATATCTAATGGACCGATTTTTTGAATATTATCATATTATGATTAATAATCTAAAAATATTATTACAAGTATAATTTTTGTAAAAATAAAAAAAAACTCCCCGGCCGGGAATCGAACCCGGGTCTCCCGCGTGACAGGCGGGGATACTAACCACTATACTACCGAGGACTTGGAATCACATTTTTAAGAAGACATAGAAATGATTACAGCACAATAATTTTTATGCAGCAGCGTCATGAAGCTTTTTACATGTTCATAAAAGTAATATTTTTGAAAAAGTTACTTTCTATTGTATATTTAAGAGAATTTTTTAATATAATATCAATAATTATTTTCTAACAATGAAACTTTAAAAATATTACAGTGCAATATTTAGTGTAGAAAGCAACATAAAAACATTAAAGAGATAGAAAAATAAAAAAAATAATTGAGAAGTTGTAAAAATTAATGAAGCTTATAATGATATGTAATGTGATTCTGATTACCACTATAACTCACACGATTCAGCAAAATAAAATACACACCTAATGCGCGCGCACACAAGTTTAAAAGACTGCATATAGAACTCTGTAGAGGGGCAAACCAGACAATTCACGGAGGTCATATAAAAGCGCGTCTCTCTTTTAAAAGCAGTGGCAATCGAACGCCAGTGTTTGAGCATATATATATATAACACGCGGGAATCATTCATCTAAAAGAAAATCAAGTTTTGGTCCCGGACAGATCAAACTTTTTAACTTCAAAATCAGGTTTATCATTACCTCGAGAGTGCAATTATGAAGTCACTTATAATTTGTTTTGCAGGTAAGCCGATTATTGATTACTTTGCCAACTTAATTATAATATTCAATTGTAGTTTAAGATCGCATTGTTAAAAAAAATTGTTAACACGTTGATTGAACATTTTATTTTAATGCGGATACGTGACTCATCAGATGTGATTTTACATAATTCCGTCTCTTTTTGTGTTCTTATTTTCTTGAACGTAATGAATATTGTAGTAATTTTCATTTGAATATGTGCAAATCAATGTGTTTCAAGACGTTGACTTTGACCGGTTGTAGCTTTCATAAGTTCCTGTATTTATGAGTCTCTTTGTTTAAACTAGTAAAATACATATGTGATTAACCAATAAAAAATTTGTTGTTAAAATGAACGATTAGTTACTACTCAGACACTATTTATATAATAAAATTTAAAAACTATATTTATAATTTAAATATGCTCTATGATAATAAAACAACAATGATTGAAGTGGAATAAAAACAATTTTACGTATTTCAACACTACATTTTCTTAAAAAATTCCATATAATATAAATATAATTTTTCTTACTTTCTTTTTTCTTTTCTTATAATTAATAATAGAAAAACATGCAATGTAGCATATTTTCCAGCTTTCTTACAGAAAACATCTCACTTATTATCGGCATACGATTAATCATTGATAATACTTGCTCGGAGTATATTTTTACATCGAGAATATATTTTTATTATTATTACCAGAGTACATATACGTGAATTACATTGTATAGTTACAAAAAAAAAAACAACTTATAACTACAAAAGAGAAATACAAATTTTTCTCTTCTGCCCACTTATGCTATGTTACGAATACTTTTTTTTATTAATTATGTCTATTCAATTTGTTGACTGTCGAAGATCGATGTTGTATAAAATACGTTTTCATTATATGAACTTGTTCTAAGCGGTCTTGTTTATAACAAACTTAATTTGTTTTCGTTATTGATAAATAATAAAGTGTCTGAGTTGAAAGTGAATAAAAACCAAAAACCGACATGTACTGATTTACAATTCAATCATAGAGTACACAATAGGAACATTATATGTATTAATAACATGTTTAACCAAATACAAATATTCATGAGCGCCCGTACTTTAAAAACATCAATGAACGTATGCTATTAATTTGTTTGGGTAATTAAAAAGAGATTAAAATTTAGAAAAGAATAAATCAATTACTTGACTGTTGAACATTTACCAAATGCAAACAAGATTAAGTCATTCAAACAGACTTATAACGCAGTAATTCTATTATCCTCCAATTCATATAAATCAATGGATTAATATTTATAAAAAATATCATCGATAAAATTGGAAGTGTATTTTTTCTGATAAAGAACAAACTAACAATTTTATCAAAGTTGAACTTACTATTGATCGTATAATATTGTTTACTGTGGTTCGATTTCTACCATTTCGAAACTAATCTAGTTATCTTTCATAGAATAAATGTAAAAGATATGACGCCAACTTATGCTTACATTACTCAACTCGACTCATAAATGAGAACACATCAAATTTAAATTTGATATTTTAGATCCAATACTATATTTCATTCCTATAATCTACTTCGATGTTTTGATAACAAAATTTCAAAATTAATATATATATATATATATATATATATATATATATATATATATATATATATATATATATATATATATATATATATATATTTATTATTACTTCTTAATTCAAAAATACTGATTTATTGCAAATAAATAAATGATAATAAGTAACTACATTAGCTTTGTACGAAACAAATGTATTAGCTATACATTTCTTCGCGTAAACATTCAATATAATCGCACCCGGGTCCCGCTGAATTACACAATAAAAATATAGATAGTAAATAACGATAACAAGTGTGCATGTAATATATTCTATTGTGAAAAATGAGTCATTTTACTAAAGTTAATGAATTTTAATTTTTTTTTCGTATGAGATAACTGAAATACATCGTTTCCTCATTATCAAATTTCCCCGAATCATCGCGTATATAGTGGCCATTATCATTGAACTACCAGATAATAAATATTTCACTCTAGTGACCCGAGGGTCAGTTTTATCAGTACTCGTATCTCTATTCTATCGGCTAAGTTCTCACTTAAAACAAAAAAATTGGACTATCTTCGTCAAATATTTTTATAATGATTACGAATAAAAAAAGCTCTGCCCACTTTGTTTGTTAAATACAATACATTTCCTTTCTATACTCATCAAAATGGTACAAACACATTTCTAATGCGATAGAAAAAAAAATAAATTAACATTGAATTTACAGTTTCCGGCTTTCTATGTGCTGGCCTGTGTCAAAAACTACCAACGGCCGACGAAGCCTTGGCAAAAATTAATGAGATAGTCGACATCCCAGGCCTAAAAAACCTCGATCTGAAAGGCTTGAATATGTCCATGCTACCGTTCAACGAGGCTGAGAATCTGCTAAAGAAGAAATGCGAGAAAAATGGAGGCCCAAACGCATACGAGACGGCCAAAGCTGCTGGATCTAATGTTGTAAACTGCGTTAAAGATCTCGTTGACTTGAATGTATTGAAGCAGGAGATGGACGCTGCTAGACCAACTGGTGATTTGGACGAAGTTTTCAAGAAGTATTGCCACAAAAAGCCTATCCTTAAAGGATGCGTGACTAATTTTACCGATGCCATTGAACCGTGCCTTGATCCAGTAGAAAGAGAAAATAAGAAAATCGTGCTCAATATCACGGAAAAAATTTTGAACTTTGTATGTTTCAAGGAGGGTGACCGCATTGCTCGTAAGTAAACATAACGGCCTTCAACATTTTTAATTAATCGCACAGTGAAGACAGGTCGGATCGCTGAGATGAGTATTGTGCCGTAAATTATTGTATAATTGCGAAGATAGGTGCCGATAAAAATCTACTTCAGAGCAAATCTCATAAAAATATATACTTTTACGAGAATAATACGTTTAAGAATAATGTTATATCTATGCCGTATATCGACATTACGACCCCTTTTTATTAGCAAGTGCTCATCACACCTTATAGAAATCAAGGACGACCTATCAGCACGTGGATCAGATCTAACAACTTGAAAAAAATTCGGCATTGAACAACGCGTATAAGACGGGTTATTTCATATTCTCTAAAATCTGTATATATACGTTTGTACATCGTTGATGTTATTCGTATTCAACCAGAATGAGTCAAAAGCTTGAACTGATTTATTTTTTCTTTTTCGTTAATTCAAGTCAGTTCTCGTTTAGTTATCTGGAAGAAACCATAAAATGAAATGTAACTAGAATTTCAAATTACATCATCCGAAATATGAATTTCACGTCAATATAAAAAATTGTTACTCGTATCACTAAAACTGACATGTACGTGTTCTTTTTACATGCTATTTTACTATACGATTAAAGATAGATTTTCCGCATTCTCATAAGATTATAGATATATAAGCCCCGATATAGGCTGACAAGTAAAAAACTAAACTATTGCCAATTCCAAACAAACATTACGATTACCTATAAAAAATATTATCAACAATAATGCATATCTTCTATTAATTCATGAAATGGGCTTTCAATCATGTTTCCTTAAATTTTCAGTATTCATCGCGGCCAAAGGACCTGAATGTTTCCAAGCCAAAACTCAAGCAATCATGGATTGCGGTAATTCTACATATGGCAAATACTCTAAAGATTTGCCCATGAACCCAGAGCAAGGATTAGCTGGTTTAACTACGAGTCTCTCTGGAATAAAAGATCTTCCTTCTCTCGTTTTTGACCAGAAAACTTGCACGTATGTATAAGTAAATATTTTATTGAGAACTTTTCAAAGAGCAGTAACTTTTTTTTGAGTTAGTTAAGCTTTAAACGATCTGTAGTTCAATACAACGACGATTGTCTATTTGCAAAAAGATGAATAAATTGCATAACGTTTTATCGCGAATAGCACGATAACTTTGTTCATGTGTCAAGCTAATTAGAATGACATTTGAAACCCAATTGAAATCGAATTAGAATAGCTAAACGTAATATGGATGGCATAATATAATTTTATATGTAAAAAAAAGTAAATGAACTATCGATAATTTACATATTTTTCTTCAAAATTATTCCATAAAAGTGGAATCTCATTTACAATAAAATTGTTCAACAATTAGAAATATTATTTAATTGTGAAAGTTTAAATTACATGTTGTATGAGATTAAACAATATTTATAACAATTCTCGAATAATAATTTATAGAAATATTTTTTTTAAAACAAATATTCGCTCAATAATTAAAAATTAAAAATTATTATAATATTTTCTTTTCACGAAATCGATGGTTTTACAGAGATATGAACACTTTACAAGGTTGCGTGGTGAACGCATTGGAAGGATGTGAAGATCCGACGCCGGCAAACCTACTCGATTCTATCTTTAATTACATCAAGAAAGTGACACCATGTCAGAAAATGCTTAGTCCTCAGGCTTAGGCACTAACAATGTTTAGTCAAAGTTCAGGAACAAGAAACGTAGCTTATACTGCAGTACTAGCTATGACTACTTTTATTTTATTATACTGAAAATGACATATACTTCCTGTAAAATCTGATTATAGTTCTGTGATTATAAATGTAACGAATGAAATACTTTATGCGAATTTGAAAAATGTATAATTTACTAACAATTTTGTACTATACAGATTTAAAGAAAATGTTATTCTTTATAACATTAGCTACCAGTAGATTACAGTAGTTTTTGTTGTATCAAGTACTTGTTATAGAATCAAATCAACAAAATTAATTTGTTGCTTATTTTTATATTACACTGTATAAGTATGAATGTTAATTGACCAGTTGTAAATTGTATGTTGCATTTTGTATACATTTTTGCTTAATTTTTCCAAATAGGGTAAAGGCACTAGTAGTAGGTCAGGCACTAGTAGTCAGTCACTTCTTTTATTATAATTTTTATTATAATTATAATTTTTATATTAAAGGTAATCCTTTAATAAATAAGAAGTAAAATGATGAATCTTTAAAACCATATCATATGAAAATAAAAAAATACATAATTAACAAGTATTTTTTCTGTTTTTTAATGCTATGCTGGACCCTTATTTTCTTATGAGGTTTAGTCTTAGTGTCAATACAGAATTCACTAAAACAAGCCTTTACGTATTTAACTGAAATTTATTTTATATACATATAAAATACCATTAAATATTGAATACTGACCTGTCATTAATATTAATAAAACATTAATATTTATTTGTGATTGTATCCGACTACCAATATTTAAATTCAAAGATATTTCAATAGTTGAAAGGGATGGTTAACTATTAAACTTTTCAAATTCAAAAATTATGCCTTCGTGTGATATTTTCTATCTTAAAAAAATAATAAGTCACTGACATCTAGCATTATTATATGGCACATTCCAGACTATGACGATCAGGTTTTCAGGGGTAGGTTTCGAATTTTCTTGAAACTTGGTCTACATGTTGTCTATATGGTAGTGTATTTAAGTATGGATTATTAAATCATTATAATATCTATATCAACAGTTTTAAACAATTGAAAAATTTTGACGAAAAATTTTCAAAAATTTAGATCTCCGCAATCATTAAAGTTATCGAAACGAATATTTTTTATTTTACATATAAAAGGGTGTACTTTAAAGATACTAAGCGAACAATACTATAACATCAATTTTTCCGAAAGTTATTAACATTTTTTTAAACAATTGCCCATATCTCAAAAAGTGTTATTTCTATTTTAAAAATTCTTTTTTTATTGAATTCCTTGACATTTTTTCTTTAAGAATCCGTTTTAAATTTCATCGAGCGATCATTAGATGCGACACAGTGAGCGATAATAGTGGACGCTCACAGGCCCTACGACGCCGATAAGTAGGTAAGCTTGGTAGTAGCGCCGACGCGCGGCCGAGCGATTGTCATATTGGAAGGCGGTGTATCCCCACTATATGCACGAATGCACTTTTGAATGACAAACAAGCAAGAGCTCGTCGCCTCGCTTCCTTATAAGAGCACACAGTTTTGATTCATGGTCCGGGTGGTGATCATTCGACGACGTGACGCAGGCTCGCTGATCTTCGCGACGAAATGACATTCTCCAGCTGTTTGCTTTTGACGACGCTCTACTTTTCGCCGACCCTCGTGAGATGATTGTTTACGGTTGGCGACCGACAGCGAGAAAACTCGTGGTTTTCATTGAATTTTTCAGAGTATAATAACGAGACAAACCATGGACAACTTGAGACAGCAGCAAGGGCCATTAGAAATGGCTAGGTTCGATCGTCGAATCCACGAGGAAGAGCACCTGGAAAAGTTTGCCAGCTGCATGCTGAACAAATTTAGGATCGTAAGTGCTGTATCGCTCCACCTACAATAACGTCGAGTTATTGTATCAACCATGACAGTGAGTCTTACGTGTTGATCACCGATGACCCAGGATCTTTCCTAGCCGCTCGCAAAGGCGCGACTCTCGGTAAGCAACTGCCTGGCAAGATTATCTTCGCCAGATTCAACTCACACCGATTTTTCTCGACAGCCGGCGCGAATGTTCGTGACACCGCGAGACAGATCACGAACTGCCTCTTGCGAACGGACATAATCGTCATGGATCCACAATAACAACTGAAAAAATCGTCACTTTCGAACGAGATTGTATTTTTGTACTGAGTTAACACTAAGAATTAATAAATCGATTGTTTTTATTACAGTTAACGTAGCTTTTATCGTGTCGACAATTTCCTCGTAGACTTCACAAATGTATTTTTCTTGAGAGCTCGCGAAGAGATTCGAAGGATGCGACCACCTGAAATTGAGCATCGTTCCATCGAAATGTCATTTACTTTTAAGAGTAATTGAAATTATTGGATCGATTTGTCGTTCAATCGTCGCCCTGTTACATTAAAATCAGCACAGATTTGAATATAATGCGTTTTAATTTAACATCCGAATGGCAGCATCGCGTTTCGCAATATTTTTTGTCTACAGAAGTAATATACATCGCGTGCGTGAAATTCACATTAAAATCAGATTCGAAAGCAAGAAAAAAAAAAGTAGCGAGTATCTAATCAATCTTATCAATTACCATATTTTTCTTATATTTCAAATTTTCTTCACTGTGTAAAGGCGACTGTTACATAGATTATGGATTAACCAAACAAACATTATCAGTTATGTTTAAATTCCGAAAGTTTCCAGTGCACGTGTCTACAATAGTTAATGTCTTGTTTCAAAAGTATAAAAGCGATCTGCTCGAGCGATCAATTACCAGTTTCCACTAAACGTTGATTCAGCGCATTCGCCCAAGTACTTCTCGAAGATGAGGACTGCCGTAGCTCTGCTTCTGTGCGTGGCTCTGCCAGCTACTTTCGTGAGTATGTGCGTTATGCGATGGAAGCGCGTATATTTATTGTTCATGATTTTAGGCGTTGATCCAAGACGAAATTAATAACAAACTGCTTAAAATAGAAGAAGACTGTGCTAAGAAGTGTGGAGTTAGTTTATGTAAGTGGTAAAAAGTCATTGCATTCAAATAAAAATATTCCGAGATAAGATTTTAAGTGAAAGATTGAATGTTTGTAGTTGCGATTGAATTGATCAGATATTATCAATTTGTTCCTTATAAAGAAAAACTAAGTGTCTGGGCTTTCTGTATGATGGTGAAATACAATGTCGTAAGTATCAATTGTTACGAGCTAAACACTTTGTCATTCGTCTGTACATTAAATGGGTATTCTTCACAAATCAAGAAAGATGGTACGGTCAATATGGACAAAATGTCCTTAAAAGTTTTCGGTGACCCCGACTCAGTGCGAAGGACATTCGAAATATGCAAAACAAAGAGTAAGTATTCCATTCGCTTTTCAGGCACCCCGTTCGTTCCAATATTCTAAAATAAAATTTCGTTATAGCTGGCCAAGATAAGATAACACTTGGGAGAACAATGATGAACTGCTATCTTAAAAACTACGAAATGGTTATGTCACGGTATCCACGAAAGTTAATGAAATTTTAATTTTAAATACGAATCTTCCCATACTCATTCTTAATTTGTAATTTTTGCACAAGCCTAATGCTAAACAGTTTTCGTCTTGTTTTACTCGAAAGAATCTGCTTGTAAAATGAAAGATGAAATAAAAATTTCGATTTTTCACCTGACCCATGTAATATTTATATAAAATCTCTCATTTTTGTTGACACGTAATGGAAACAAAAAGTATATTTTTTAGGCGAATCTTTTGAATCAAATCAAAATAATGTGAAACTAATTCACGATGGTTTGCCTTAATGGAAAAATATTCGGAGAGGAGTCTATCAGATAATCAAAGCAATATTTTTCTAATTAATTTTCAAATATTTCTATATATATTCTATATTTTTACATAATTTTGTCGTACAATTTAAATAGTAATTTTCTACTTTAATTAGTTAGTTTGTAGGTAATCAAAGAGAATCTATATAACTTAATAAACCGCAAACTATAATTTTATATCTAACTATTCTTTTGATAATAGATCTATTGAACATTATATTCATAGAATTCCATTTATTTATTATCATAAATTTTTAACTCAGAGCTTTTTTTCTAGAGTACTTTCTTTTTTTTATTTCATGCATTTTTTTATTTATGTATGTAACAATTTGTTTTTTCGCTCACAATCGATTCTAGTTTTTTTTTATGTTATTTGTCCCCATACCGAGTGTAATAGTTATTGCGCCTTCCTAGCAGGGAGCACAAAACTGCATAGACAGTCTGATTTACCTAACGGCTCGAGCAGTCAAATAGCGCATCGCGTGTACTACACGAAGCACTTTACTTTGAAACAATCAAAGCCGTTTTACCTCGCCTGCTGAGGGAGCAACATCATCCTTTTACGCGGGGTATTCGGAAAACGAGTATACGTAACATGGAAAATTACTTTTAATGTATTAAACAAGATTTTTTTTTAGTTCAATTACACTTATAATTTGATGATTATAAATAATGACATAAATTGCAAATTTAATGACATTGACTATGAACAAAAAGAGAAATTGTAGAAAATTTGTAAAATGTCATATAAAAGATTTAATTTGAGTAAAGTGATCAATATTTCATTCAATTATGAATTGGATAACTTGTGATTCAATCAAACTCGAACATGACCTCATTTGACCGTCCATTTTAAACATCGCGCAATTAAATCTAGAACACAGTTGATTGGTTCTAACCTATCAACCAACGGAAAGTCCAACCAACACAGGTCTACAACGGAATATCTGCTAAGGCGCAAGCGCGCCAAGAATTTTTGCGCACTTTAATCTGCGACGCGTTGGTGGGGGGTAGCCGTTCGTCCTCGGCGAGCTCAGTGCAAGGCAAGGGAAAACCCGCAACGGGCCAGTACACTTTGAGAAAGCCCACTGTTGGCTGTCTCAGACGGTGTATACGTTAAAGGGAAGCATTCTTCCTGGGTCAAGCTCGTCTCTCGACTAATCTCTCGTGTGTGCATCATGTTAATGAGCTTCACTCGTGTCTCAAACTCAAGTTATCAGCACGGTGCATTCAGTATACGAAGGAAAATAAACAGTGCCAGACATTTACCCTCTTGATCGAGGAAGTGACCCCCCATCATCTCTAGTTTTATTCAGTTTCTGTCTCTGTATATCTCTTTCTCAATCTCTCTCAACTTCTATCCGAATCTACTCGTCTTCGTGTGCAACAGTGTGACGGTGCCAAGATGCCAGGAAAAGGCGGCCGACGAGGCCGATCTGGTGAGTTTGATCCAGGCCTATTTTTATGTCGACCGAGAAAAAAAACGTGCGTGCCACACTCGCTACTATGTCTCGACATGGTCGTCGTCGCTCGATACACCAGCGCGCTCTTTCTTTCGCGCGTTTCGCCCATGTGACTTGCATGCTTTACTGCTTTGCTGGAGAGTTTGGCCCTTCGACGGGTGGATCGATAACTCGTGACTCCCATACCACAATAAATCATATATAAGCATGTTAATTATTCTATTTCAATCTCTTGGACGACAGCTGGTTCAGCTGTCAAACGATTGTCGGCCATATCTTGCGTACACACATACCTACGTTTTACCTCCTACCATGCGACCTTCCATTACAGGAGGAAATCATTTTTTTATCGCGAAAGGGAAAGTCTCGCCCGAGATAACAGAAGGTCGCGCGCTTGATGAATTGCGCAATTCCGTATAGACAGCCGAACATTGGCAGCCGTGCACGTTAATTAATGCAGAAACGAATGAGAGCGTTATATAATTAGCGTTTAACTGGCTTTGTTGTCAAGACACGCACGGCTCTCGTTATATTTTTTCTCGACATAAACATTTCGCCTGCCGCTTGCAAAATGAAAAAAATATTTTTCGCTTTTTGCGGCAAATCTAAGAGGATCGTGACGTTTTACTTATGCACCGCGTGCCGGATTAACTGAAGGCAACCTTCGGCTTCACCTTGCTTTTTGCGCTATACCACGCAAAACGTTATTACAACGAAATGAAAATAATGACCTTTTCTTTTTAGTTTGGCTACGCGGGTGAGCGAGCGAAAATTTATGCGGCGACGAATGTGGATGGACAATTAGATTAGATAATTGAACGTTAACTGGGCTTTTTATTTTTTAGTACTGACGAGTCGTGTTCGTGCTCGACGGAATTATATCTGTATTCGTGGTTGCGTAAAAGCTTTTGGACAATGGGAAAACTCGAGCGTGTATTAATCTGAACTGCCTTATCGACTGACAGCCTTACTGCGTAAATATTTTTTGACCCTCGTGGTCCATTGACAATGGTGTTTTTGATCGGGTCCCTATGTGCATATTCGGTGAATCGAATAACGAACAGCGTATTGTTTATTTTGCGAAAAAATTTCGTGCTGTCGTGAGATCGCAGACTGCAATTGTGCTCGGGAATCCCGCAATTGCTGACTAATGCGCCATCCACGTTCCAATATGTCACAACAATCGTTCAGGAAAAGAAGATAATTTTTAGTCATCTCGCAGTGAAATAAAACTGGTATACTTTAATTGAAGGAGCAACAGCTTTTGAAAGGAAAAATTACGTTGAGCAAAGTTATATTTTTTATGACCAAAAAATCATGTGTGTACCGCATATATCGGCAATCTTCGTCAGTTATGTAAAAAAAAAAAACTTCCAATTTTATTGTACAAATTTCCATATGAAGAATTAAAAAAGTGCATTTTGTGATGAGCGGCTAGTATAATAAAAATAATTGTAAATTAGAGTGCCGATATTTCAAAGTAGTTTCCTCATTCGCACAAGATAATCATAAAAGCAATCAGCAAAAGTTATTCTTATTATTTTCTTTATCTCAGTATGTTTCAAAAGCAAACGTGTCACTCAAAATACCACCTTTATTTTCAATGACAACTGGTTTTCACGCAGCAAATTCAACAATAATAACATAACAATGAAATTTGTTCAACAGGCCAAGGTGGCAAACGCGTTGAAGTAGGATCGGACGACGATTCGTTAAACGACGCAGGCAGCATAACGAGCGGCCAATCAGATGTGCGCAGCGTGCTGGACGAAGTGAACGACAACAACGAGGTCGACGAGATTAGCCAGCAAGAGGCGTTCGAGGAAAAGTTGAAGGAAGCTATAGACGGATTGACGCAAAAAAGTGCGAAGGGGCGTGTCACGTGTTTCCACGGCGTGGAGAAAATTTTCGCGGTCAAGTATGTGCCCGAGTTCGTGGAGGATCGCAAGATGACTATCACAGACTCTATCGAGAAAGGATTGAAGAAAGGCCGCGGCGACGAACAGTCGTCGGCTGCCAGGCTGAGCACTTTGCTTTGCGTTCAGTTGGGCATGTTGGATAGTGCCGAGGCTGTTTGTAAGGATCTCAAGTCACCCCTGACTTTCATCGCTAATGATTCGTCTGCTTCCAATGCTGGACGCGCCGAGGTAAGTTGGTTTTCTTATCGAAGATCATGCGATTTTCAGCGTCAGTTCTATAATGTTATTTCTCCAAAGTTAGAAAGTTCAGAGGAAGATAATAGAATGTGTATATTTGAAGAAATTGTAGTTGTTTTCATGGTGGCCAAAGGAAAGTTTAAGGCTAACAAACGTAGATGGCCAACAGTTTATTTTTGAAATCTTGGATCATTGACAAACACGTTTATCACACTGCGACTGTGTGAACAATAGGCTAAACCCGCTAATAAAATTTGCAGTGTTGCTGGGCCTTGGGTATGAACCAGTTCTTTTCCGGTAACGACGTGAGCGACACCATCGAGATCACCCACCTGCTATCCAGCGTGTTCGCTGGCTCTTATCTCAAGGGGAACGGTGCTGTAGCCTCGATAACAGCCGACGTTGCTGCTCTTCACGCGGCTGCCATCTCTGCGTGGACCTTGCTTCTTACCATCATGTCTCCTGTTGACGTTTACAATCTACTTGGCAGTGGACAGACTAGCAATTTCATGCCGTGAGTTTCAGCTTTTACTTCAAATGACTCTCGTATGTTTTACCAAATTAGTAAAAATTCGTTGAGTTATAGGTCGTTGAATCGTTTGAGCGAATTACTTCAGTCGCCACACTTGGAGGTCCGTCTATCCGCTGGCGAGGCTTTGGCTGTGATTTTTGAGCTCGGGCGCGACTACGCCGACGACTACGAGCAGGAATGGGCACTCGATCTCATCGAGATTCTCAAGGATTTGGCCACCGACTCCAACAAATACAGAGCTAAAAAGGACAGGAAGCAGCAACGTGCAAGCTTCCGAGATATCTTACGTTACATTGAAGTACATATAACGAATCGCAATTGACTTGTTATAATATTAGGATTCTTTTATAAATTTTGCTAATAATTATGTTATATTTTGCAGGAAGACATTGTCCCAGAAACTCAAATCCGATTCGGCAAAGAAACACTATACCTCGAGGGTTGGTGCGCACGTACCCAATACAACGCCTGCTGTCGACTACTTGGTCCTGGCATAAATATTCATTTGGCTGAGAATCAATTACTTCGTGAAATTTTCAGCCTTGGCAACCGCGTGATTGGCCCTGTTGCAACTCAGAAAACTAGCAAATTAGAAAGAGTAAGTTATATAATAAAAAAATCGCTTTTAAGCATCAATTATTTGTAGAATAATAACAATTTTTGCTTATTTATGATTTTAGACTCTAATGAATGCAGCGGCGTTCAAGGCCCGCACTATTCAGAGAAATCGAGTTCGGGATAAACGCTCAGTTGCCCTAGCTATTTAAAAAGAATGCTATTTAACAAAATTTTATCATTTTCGTTTGATTTTATATGAATATTAACTAATTCAAGGTGGTTACACGTACGCCCGTTATTGTAATTTTATTCATTATAATACTGAGCAAGATATATCCGTCTTGTTATTTTTTTACTTGTCAGTCTCTTTTTCTTTTTGAAATCCAATGGTTAAAAGGTATTAAACGACGTATTTGGATTCGTTTACGCTGTATGGACATGGCTTCTGGAGAGGAACAGTCAAAGTTTTTGTTTCTTTCAAGAATTTAGCATAATAATATCTATTTACTACTTTTGTAAAATTTTGACATACACGTATTTGTGTATTGTTTATTGTACATATATTGAGGAAAAATTTTTTGATCGGGTTTGTTTTTTTTCGATCATTAGATAGGTTAAATCTTTTTCGTCAAATACTCGCACGAATTTTGTTAATTTGCTTCAGAATAAGCAAATTTTGTTTTTGTTTTATCGTGAAATTGACATTGATTTGTGCACTGCCTGTATTTATTGAATTAACACAAATCTAGCATTTATCTATAAGAACAGCCAATAAACCATTACAACAAGCATATGTAATAAACTTAATATAGACGGAAGAACTGACTTTTTGTATTATCCCCTTTTCCTGTTTTTTTAATCAAACAACTTCTATTTAAATATTATTAGTATATATTTAACAATCATTATGCATACAGTGGAATTTTTCATTCAAGTTTGTACATCACTTGAATATATTTGAGCATGAAAATAAAAATTATTGATACTCATAGTAATACAGAATAATCAGAATTCGATGACAAATGAAATACTATAACTTGATAGAAAAAAATACTGTCAAAGTATTAAATACAAATAAATTACAAATAAATAACAAGCAGTTTGAGCCCAGATAGAATACTACAAAACTACAAAATTTCTTAAGGCAGTAACAGCAAGTAATATATATATATATATATATATAAGTATATATATATATAAGTATATATATATATATTTATAAAGGTACAAACATAAAAGACAGATTATAAAATAATGTTATACATGTAAAGATATTGCTTGCTTAGCAAATTCTTTTTCTGATAACATTCGCCATCGATAACCCAATATTCTTGAGACTTCTCTTTCGGTTTTCTCATAATCATTACAATGATCTTTGATCCATTTGTAATGTTCTGCCGGCCAGTCAACGATGCTTAACCAGTCGGCGTCACACTTTTTCAAAACTACGTTTCGCCGTACATACAGGAAGCGCAACGACTTTGCGATCGATACGATTTCTAAAATTGTCGCCGTTGAAATTTTGTTGCGAATCATCTGTAGAAAAAGTTTTTAAATATATCAAAACTGCAATTCAAGAAATACATTTAGAAATAAAAACAAAATTATAGTAGTTATAGAGGGAAAAAGAATGAAAGACAGAAGTTAGAAAAAAAAGTTGATTATTTTCATCTACAATCAGTCTTAACACCACACCTTTCAAAATAGTGTCTTTAATGCACTTTAAGCTATATACATATTTACATACACGCACATAAAACAATACAGGCACTGATTGTTAGTGATAGAGTAGGCATATAAAATTGTTATCAAAAAGTGCAGAAAAAATTAGTTTGGTTTCACAGCTTTTAGAATGTACAAAATGCTACCAATGTATGAAGATCTGGACACAGCTTGCAGAGTTTAACTATCGCTTCATCAACCCTTTTTGGAAATACTCGTGGTAGATAATATCTCGTTAATCCTCTTAAAGCATAAACACGTAGTGTCTTATTGAAGTGTATAGCATGTTGCAAAATAATTGATGATGGTATCTAAAAGATTAAAATATAAACGTCATATAATGTTTATAAAAGTGATGTGGTTACATTTTTTATTTTTAAAAATTTACCTGAGTATTTGGATTATCTAAAACTATGCTTTGACATGGAATTTCATTAGGTTGATTTGGATTAAACGGTAAAATTATATCTAATGGCTTTTGACTTTCAATTTCAAAATGAACTCTTAAATGTGGGTTGTTGGATTTCATTTTTCTCCAAGCTGCGTTTTTAGGCTAAAAATTTATTGAATTCAAAAACTCCAATATACAAAATTTATAAAGAAGGCTCTTTCATAAAAGAATTAAAATCTTACCAAGTTAATGAATATGTCTTTAGGACTATATCTATTTTGTAGAATATGAAGATGCTGCAACTGAGTATATCCTAAAAGTTCGATCACGTCCTCATGAAGGTTTTGTGGACTTATAACCAAAATCTATAAATACATTCATTATTAAACAATCATAGATCGTTTAATTATCAAAATTCAGTTGTCACTTATTAATTCTCACCTTTAAATTTAAAAAAACACCAACATGCAACAAAGGACATGGTTGTCTAGTTGTGTTAATTAATACTAATTTCTTCAATGTCTGAGTACAATTTGCACATATATCATCCATCAGATGCATTGCTTCTTTGTTCTCTAACATCAAATCTATCAATTCGAGACTTTTTATATTTTCTAAATTTCTCATCAGTCTTTTGAGTGCTTCCAGTAGTTTTCCTCCAGTTCCAAATAATTTCATATTCTCTGAGTTGTCTCTGTTGCGATTAGCCATATCACAAGGAAAAGTAAATTTAAGTCGCTTGATATTAGTGCCAATACCGATCATAGATTTATCCATTTTTTGTCTCTCAGAGTACCAGGAAATCATATTCATGAATTCAAAAAGATTCTGAAAACTCATCATTGGCTCAAAAATAAGGCACTTGAAATTTCGTCCAATTTTATTTAAACATGTTGAAGTTCTCATGTGATCCAAAACATACTGCCAGCCACTGTAGTAGTTAAACTTTCCTCTGACAAGTGTTGTATCTGCTAAGGTAAATGTTGACCACACATATGGAAGTTTGAAAGCTCTGTACCAATTTTGACAGACGAGAGAAGCATAGTAACGTTCCTTTATTGTCAAATAAGAAAAAATTTCTTCGAGTAGTATATCTGGTAACAAATCCCATTCACTGTATGGTGCATCTTTTTTCTCATCTTCAGTTTCTTCCTCTATGTCAACATAACATGCTAAAATATTAATCAATTACAGAATTATAATGTCAATTAATTCATTTGAAATATTGATAGCAACTTCTAGTGGGTGAAAATAAGTTGAAAACATAGAAAGGGAATTTTTTTATGCAAAAACGACGACAAAACGTATACTTGTGACACACTTTAATCTTCTTCATTGCAGAAACGCTTAAAAAATAAATTACAGTAATTAATAAATGTTCAGTAAATTTGTTCAAAATTTTAAATTGATACGTAAAATAGTAAACGAGGAAAAGGATGCATCAAGACTAATTATAGAAGAGATTGATGAAAAGAAAACGCTTGAATGTTGGTCGAGTGACGTATATAAAGATTAATCGAGGAAAATGATATCCATTACAAAATATGAAAAGAATCTCACCTGTCTCATCCTCGTTGAGTTTCCAACAACCCTTGTTCATTTTCCGTGTTGGACGATTCACGATTCCGTTAACATTTGAGACACAAATCGACTCGCGGCTGTGGTGCGGCGTCAAGGAATATACTTAATGCGTGCAATATTTCTAAAAATACGACTGCCTCTGAAAAAGAGCCGACGTCGCAACCATCTTCGTACGGCTTTACCTTAATGACTAGCCTTGTACTTTTCATCGCAGCAACGCAATCGATCGTTTATCACTTCGAGGTGCATTCTTTTCCTTGTTGACTTGTCTATTAACGAAACCTCATCAAAGCTGTCTGCTCGACGGAACTGAAGTGAAATATACATAATATAGATTATCACGTCCTTTTTGAGGTTATGTTGCTCTATAGCGTGTACTAACCCTAACTAGCGTCGATAATGTAGACTTTCATGTATATTTATAGATGTAATGTGCTTTGAGGCTCATATAGTTTTTCAACGATTGATTTACGGAAATAGATTTTGGCAAACGTCCATTTTAACGTGTAGTCTGGATTATATCAATAGTAATTAAATGGAATTTCAAATTTAGAAAAACATTTTCTCTCCAAAGAGTTTTTTATAATTTTTATAATTGTCAATAATAAAAACTTTTTTTTTCATTTAATAAATATAAATTACTTTGAAAAATTACTAATTAATTAAACTATATTAGCTTTTATTTTATTATTCGTAATGATAATTTTCGTGTATATTCTTTCATATGCAAGTGCATAATCATTTTGAGTGTTTTGACATTTTGTGTTTGTGATGTGTAGTCGGTGTACTTCTTTTTGATAAAAAGCGCCAAAGCGGCGTTGGCGCACACTTGCGACACAACCTCAAAAATGTGATGTGTTTGACTTAAATTAAATTGGAAAAAATATTGTATTAATTTTTTTAATGAAAATTATAAAAAAACAAGATGGAAAGAAATGAGCATGATTGGATAGTCGAGTGTTCTGACGATGAAAAGTATGAAAATGATCCGAAGGTAAAACAAAAAGTGATGTTTTGTTTTGGAACACAGTGTTTTGATACAAGTTGATAATTGTAAAATTTGTTTTTTAAAAATAGAACGGATGGATACATAAGGCTGAAGATATAGTCTCACTTATTGAAGGTTTAGAGAGCAACAATCGTATTTTAGAACTGGAATGGAAATGTCCAGGCAGACGAGAAGCTTCTCCTATCACAGTAAATAACCACCAGCAGGATACACCAAATGAATTCAAGTAAAACCATTGCCTATTGATAAGCCTTTAGCATTTTCATTCATCTAATTTTTAAATTATTTCAAACTGTATGTCATTTTCAGACCAAAGGAGAAATCAGACTTTGATTTCATGGATGAAATGTCATCTCCGAGGCTACCAGTACGAAGAAGTGGAGAAAGTACTCCAAAGGGAAGTGCCAAGAAAAAAACAGCAAGTTTCAATGGTGTGTTGTCAACAATGTTGCGCCATCGTAGGTTAGAACAGCAAGAAATCAGTGACAGTCCTAAAAAGACAAAGTCTAATTCTCCAGGAGTAAAGCAGGCAAATTGAGAGCACAGTGTAGTTCCTCAAGAGTAGCAAAACTGCTCGAGTGAAAAAGTAAACAAGCGAATCTAAGTGCTTACAGTCTACAATGGAGATCAAAGACTATAATTATCTGTACAAGGTATTGCTGGCTATCCTCTGTGAGGATGAATCTTGTTTATACAATAAGATCTAGTTTCTTAGTCAAGTTTATATAAGCCCATGCAATATTTGTAAATACTTATCCATTAAGACTTTATTCCAAGCTTACTTACAACATGCATTATTTACTCTAAGCTTTTAATAATTAAGTTAGGCACTCAGTAGTGGTAGGCTCGTTCATTGCCCAGTCTGGGAAGCCTTCGATCTTGTAGGTGTAGACACCCCAAGTGGAAAACATTACTACAACCACTACAAAACTGTACAACGCTGGACCACAACCAGCCACAATTAAGCTTTTAGTTGACAAGTGACCTGCCACTGTTACTATCGCGTTCGGTGGTGTACCCACTGGCAGACGAAACGCGTATGAGCAGATCATCGTAGATGGAATCATCACATACAGGGGATTAAGTTTTATCGCCACGCTCTAGATATAAAAATTAGGATTGCAGATTATTTTGTTCTATTTGCATGATTTTAAGAGTCGCTACTTTTTTACTCAAGAGGATCTCAGTGTCATAATTTGCGAATGAATGATTTAAAAAAAGAAATAAGTTTTTATTTTGACACAGTGTTCAAGATTATCCCTCTCGAGCCAAAAAGTTTTTTTCTAAAATATAAATACAGTGTACAGTCATTTTTGAAGTAGAGATTTTTTTTCGAATTCAATATTAAGATAAAATAGATAATAAATTTCTATTGTAGAAATGAATGTACAACTACTTAATAAGTTGTAGTTTCGTAAGTGTATATTTCGTTGCGTGTGCGTGAAATGTTACTATACATAAGTATTACCATTTGAGCAATCACCGGCAGCATGATGTTGGCAATGCCAATATTGGAAGTGAATTCAGTGATGGTGCCGGTGAACAGACAAGTGATGCAGAGGATTAGAAATGGCGGGAGATTTTTGAGAGGAGTTAAAGCTTCGCCAATGTTCTTCGATAGGCAAGACGAATTGCTACCTTTGGAAATAGCAAAGCCACCGCCAAGAAGAAACATCAAGCTCCATGGCATTTTGCTTTCCAAGACCTTCCACGTGATTAGGCCTTCCGAGGATTTTGTCGGCCTCTTGTTGGCTTGAGGAATGGCACGGGCAGAGAAAAAGGGGTGAATTATTGTAATGTACGTGCGATTTCTGTCATTGAAGAAGTATCGTTGTTTTGATAAAAGTCTCGAAAGTACAATATCTTATACGTCACATGCAACTTTCTGTCAATCTTTTTGATAATCTCTATTTTTGTACATGGCCAATTGAAGACTAATGACGATATCTTTTTCATTTTTGTGGCAATACTGTAAAGTTGTAAAATTAAGCAAGTGCGGACCAAGTGTTTCGATGACGCTTAAGGAATGAAAATTCAAAGTAAAAAATGAGTATCTTATTGGAGTGACGATCATCGTTTCTAATTTATTATTTACGACTGTATTGATTCTTATTCAGTACTGCAAATATATAAAAAAGAAAATTCCGATTACGATTCCCGGATTGCGTTAATTTATTCACCATATTTCCCATGGCACACTTTTTGTAAAAGAACATCATCAATTAATCTGTATTTCTAATGAAAGCTTCTTGTTATTTTATTTGATAATGTATTTTCAAATGATTTTTATCTTGGCCGAGATTTTTGTTTCAAATAATTTATCCTACTAAAGTCTGGTATGGAAATATTGACGTCAATGCTCAGCAATCACTAGATTGCAGCAAACAAGTTAAAAAAGACTTACCATCTTTACTGCATACATACAAAAAGGAAGGCTCCTTGGGTATAATAAACATCAGAGTAGCCACAAACATAACAGGCGTCGAGTCTCGAATATCTCTGTAACGAGGGAATGAACAGTAACGACTTTAATTGTTGCTGGGATTCCATGAAAACTGGAAATCTTACACGGAATTGAGTATGTCGGCCCAACCAGTCATGAAACCTGGATGTCGAAAAAACCAGAGGGTCGCGCACAGGGCAAACAATACCGAAACCGCAGTCTCGTGAAATGTCATTTTGCCTAGTTCCTTGTATTTCTCCTGCATCAACTGCGTGAGATTTCGGGCGTGAAAGGGCCAATTGACCGTGCGTTTTGAATCCGTTCGATCGACCATGAAGGTAACGAAGATCGCCGGTTGATTTGACAGAAAAGCCCTCCGCGTTAGATTTCCATGCGAAATTGGCCTCGCTCGATAAAGAAAGATGAGAATCTCACTCTGTTGGCAATAGCCTCTCCTTCGCGGCCAATAGTGGCGTCGCGAGCGTCTTGGCTACGTGGTCTGCCGAGGCCCATGTAAAACACGAGCATGTAAAGCCAAGTAATAAAGACGTTAACGAGCGACTGCGGCAGAGCCCACATCATCCACTGGGCGAAATTAATACCCTCGGCGCGCGGGAAAGTGCTCTCGAAGACGCCCTTGAAGGTGAGATTGGTGCCGGTGCCGACGAGGGTGGAGGTGCCGGCGAAGGTCGCCGCGTACGCCGAGCCGAGGAGGTAGGCCTTCGTCACTTTGGTCGGCTCTCGCTCGCTGCGCTCGGCAACAACAACAACAAACGGAAAACAAATGCTCGCTCGCGCTTTGCGGCGGACGCCCGGCGGGGATTGCGAGCGGGAGGGACCAAGGTTCTCCCTCGAGCGCTCGATTGTCCGATAACTATCGATTCCCCGGCGTCGCCAGCCTCGCGCGGAACCTCGCTCTGCTGTGGCTTAATTCGAACAGCGTCATACCTTTCCGGATCCTCCGGGTCGCCCTTGTAAACGAACACTTTGCCCAGACCTGCCTGGAAAGCATCGCGAGCAGTATATTAGTACTGCGAGACTTGGCACCGTGCCCGGGCGACTCGCGACCGAGAACCACCTCCTCGAGCTCCCGCAGAATGGCGAATATGATGGGCACCATCATCGCCGTGCACGCGGTGTTCGACACCCACATGGACAGGAAGCTGATGACGGTGAACAGTCCAGCGAGGAGCTTGGTGTGGCTGCAGCCAACGAAACGCATCACTCCCAGGGCGATGCGCAAGTGAAGGTTGCAGTGCTCGATGGAGATGGCGAGGATCAGGCCGCCGATGAACACCATGATCGTATCGTTCATGTAGCACAGACACGTCTCCGCGGTACTCAAGATCCCGAGGCATGGGAACAGCACGAGCGGCATTAGAGCTGTCATCGGCAGCGGCAGACACTCCGTTACCCAGTACATCGCCATTAATACCACCACGAAAGCGCATCTCGCCTGCTTTGAAATTCACGATTTGCTTGCTCTGAGAAAGATTCGTCGGAGGCGCGCTACGCCCTCTCGCCTCCAATTATCAGTTTGCAAGTCAATCAGACGCCGGTACTGATGAAGCTTTTTCGCAGCGTGCCGCGTAGATAGCATTGCGATTCTCATTAGTGCAGGAACAATAAACTCGTTCGAAGGGAGAGGCGACTCTTGTATCGATAAGAGGATGTGCTCGAGCTCCCGAACAATCGAAGCTTCCCCCGACAAAAGACTTATTGTAATCGGCTACTTTCATCGCGAGCGACTAATGAAGTCTCATAATATCAAAATTTGTATAATTATTCGTTGCAAAAGAATACGAGGGAGGGGGGGGGGGAAGAAAGCGCGTATATCCGGAGAATAAAAGAGGAAGTTCGTTAACGAGTTTTTGCTGTGACTCCAACTCACCAGGCCATCGTAAAGCACAACAAGAGGAAGGAGAATTAACGGCCATCCCAGCACGATAATGACCCTCCAGTAGAGCTTGAAGAAAAGACCTGTTTTCTTAGCGATTGACTTGTCGTCGTAATTCGCTCTGCAACGGTATACGGTTTTTTCAATTATTGCACTCGCGCGCACCACCAAATCCCTTTAAGGGACACACAACCACGGCAATTTGCCGTGTACGAACTAACGGTGCTGCTGCGTTTGCCGTCGATGACATTATCAACGAGCACCAGCATTTATTCCAGTTCTCTCGCTCGCTTCCTCGACGACCTGAGCAAACGGGCTTGAGGTTAAAAAAAGGGAGCGCGTGGCGCTGAGAGACAGTTGAACGACGCCCCGGGCGTGATTTATACGTAGCGTTCGTCCGCCCGATTAATTTTCGAAAATTAGCCCCCGTGCCATTAGCCCGTAATTCGAGGCGGCCCGTAAATTTCGTCGGGCTGCGGGAGTGGAAAGAAAAGCTGAAACGCGTCGACGGACCCGGCGCGTGGCGAAGGCGCTTCTGCGAGATCCACGAAAGCGTTGTGTTTTCTCTTTCTCTTTCTCTCTCCGGCGAGAAACGAGCCCTCGAACACGCACGCGGCCGCTGGAAAAATTATATCCCCCCTTCGTGGAATTGTAACTCCAACTATAGAGTCGTTGGGACGCTCCCGTCCCTCTTCTTATCGCGGACCGAATGTAATTTGGACGCGGCTCCGAAAGCCCTCTTGGCCGAGAATAGTCGACGTGCCCCGCGATAACGCCGCGCGCGTCGCGCACGCAACTGATATATACGGCTGCGCGATTCGCGTGACCCGCGTACGTGCTCGCACGGAACGGTAACGTGCGGACCCTCGAGAGAGCCCGCGACACGCACGTTCTTTTCGGAGCCCGATGAATCACGAAAAACGCGAGCGCGTTCGGCGTCCATTTAAAAAACGTACAGTTGAATATTTGATCGATCGCGATAGGGTTTATCCGTGACCTCTGACTCCGCAACTGGCGTATCACCCATTAGCTCTATTTTTGTATCGATTCGTTAGACTCAAGTTCAATTTAAACTCAGCTCCCTCCTAGCGCTGGCGTGCTTCTCTCTCTCTCCCTCTCTCGCCTTTTGGCACGAGCTCGGTAAACAAATATAGTATTACGCTTTGCGATAAAACACACTTTCGTAATTGCAAACTCGCGCGCGCGTTGTTTATAATGTCACTCGATAAACGTTAAAGGCGGGTAAATTTCATTTGAGGCGAATAATGTGTACAATGGATTGGGCGATATAACGAGCATCAAATAAAGGGAAATTTGCGGTTTCGATCAAGTTGATAATGCATTTGCGGCGCGATTAAATCTTCCTGTGAGCCCGATTGTTCATCGACGAATGTTCGGCAAAGGTTTCGCGATCTCTGAATCGGACTATAACTCAAAGGGTCTGTCTCGCGAACATTTATCGAAAGGTGAGTGGCGCGTCTCACTTCAAAGTTATCCAAGTCCCTTGGAGAATTGAAGCGTACCCGTGTGTGCTGTACCCATATCCTAGAGTAGCAGCAGCAGCAGCAGCATTGCGAAAAAAATTTTTTTTTTTATTCTCCCCCACCCTCCTGTCACGTAGCGCCCACACCTTAGCCCTGCTCTCCCTCCCTTTCAGCCGTGAGTCCTGTTCGTTTTAAAAAAGCAAACCCTGCGCGCAGCCTGGATGATAGAGAGAGAGAGAGAGAGAGAGAGAGAGAGAGAGAAAGGGGGTTGCGCGCGCGCACTCGAGTTGGTAGTGGTCTTCGAACCCCTTTCTCTCTCTCTCTCTCTCCGGTTGCCGTCGCTTAGGCCAGTCTGCATTGCGCATCGCACGGGGCTAGAGCCATTCAGCCTGACTGGCAGCCGCAGCATCGACCAACGCACCCTATCAACCCTCCTCAGCTGACTGACCGAGCTTTGCGGATACGTGGCCTGATTCACCTGGGTGAGTGCAGTTCGATTGAAGCTTTCGCCACTCTCTCGCAAATCACTTCACGTAACTTTTGTTTTCCTCCTTTGTGTTCCTGCGATTTCCTTGTGATTTTCTTTTTATTCCTTCCTTGAACGGCTGTAATTTAATGCTGATTTATTTATTTTTTCGCATGCAGTATTGATTAAGGACGCGCACGTAAAAATGTACTTAGTTAGATAAGATTTTAAAGGGGCAAACTAAACACGATCCATTAACGTCAACTAAAATTTTCGCTTGGACAGTCGCTGTAACGTGCTTCACATATACGCGTATTCGATTATTACGGGACATACGAAATCGAAATTCGCGAAATTCAGCACGCATTTTCAATTCAATTGTCATTATGTTAATGGGTTAAAGAGCAAGATCAGGACCCACCGTGCGAAACAATCACTCGTCAACGCCGATCGTTCAGATGATAACGAACAAAGATCCAGCGGCACGGAGTTTTATCGTTGGAAACAAACGACACAAAGTGGCAATCCTAACGCGCGGCAATGTCGCGTTTCATCGCGATTTTGTCAGCTCGATGTAGCGCAACATTATTACCACGATGTCGTGTGGAACTTATCTTTCAAATCGAATCAGACGAAGGAAGAAAGGAATACGGCGCGAGCGGGAAAGTCGGAGAGGAAAGAGAGCAATTTATATTCAATCGCGCGAGGATATCAGTTCGGAGCGCAAAGTTAGAGCAGCGTCGAGCGGCACACGTACGGCACGAGCGCCATAAACAAAGCCGACATCCTCTGGGTGTCGAGCGGCGCGACGTCGTAAGGTTAAACGGGAAAAAGTCGGACGCGCTGATTTATGCTTGACATTGGAGATCGGAGTATCGCCGACGCCTTCGCGACGAGTGAAAGAGTCGCGGCGGCGGCGGCGGCGTCTACGCGTGGCACGAAAGAGCAAGACAAGGGATGTGCAGGTGAAGGGACGACGACGTCGACGGCCAGATATCGATCCTCCCACGCGCGAAATTGCCCCTAAGCCTCGCTCTCTCTCTCTCTCTCTCTGTCTCTCTCTTTCTCTCTCGCTGTCTACCGTAGCATCCCAGAATTTCTCTCTGCTCCCGAGTTACCACTAATTGTCTCGCGCGAGTTAATTGCTTTTGTAGTGTGCATCTGACGAGAGCTCACGTCGCAATTATTACTATTATCATTATTATCAGCGTTGATTGTGGCGCGAGCGTATTACGTCTCACGGAATTTCAAAGAATACGTTCTCATTCCGGGCGGCCTGCGCTACGGGAATCCCGACCCCGTCGACGCGCCGCACTCTCGCTTTTCATCGTGCCGAAAAGGGAAATTTCCGCGGTTGACTATTTATCGCGTCTATCTATGAGCACGGACCGCAGCGGAGGCGAAAGAGGCGCGTTTCGCGCGGATTTGCCGCGGGCGCGAAGCCGCCGCCACCGCACGCGAAGGGCAATTGGCATAAACGAGCATCGATCGCGACCAGCGAGCGAATTCGCGGACTCTTCCTCGGTGAATTACAAGGTGAGAACTCAAACGCGGAAAACGAGGCATTGATTTATCGCGAGCAACAACTATCCCTCTCCACCTCTCGAGCGACCGATTGATCGGCCGGCGGCGGTGGCGGTGACGCGCGCGCGGGCGCGCGTGTGTATAATTCGTCGCGTGGGGAAACCGCACAATATCCGCCACTGGCTCGCTCGCGGGCTCAATTTACGTAACACTCGAAAAAGGAAATGTTATGAGCATCGGTTGCCAGGAAACACACGACGCGAGAGCGAGACGCCTTCTCCCCGAGCTCAGAAAACACTCGCGCTTCGAGAGTGCATGTATCCCGAAACTCGGCGCCGCTTTCGCGCGAGCACGATGAATTTTCCCGCGAAAATTTTTCGCCCCGCCCACGCGCGATTAACCAAGTTTTTGCTTTCGTCCTGGTTTACCGCGCTACTTTTTCGCCGGGATTTATCATGAATATTTATTGCTCGCCCGGTGAAACGCGCCTCTTACAGCCTGGCCTCCGCGACCGTTATAATTGAACATTTCAGCGGCCTCAAATTTACGCATTTACGGCAACTTATTGTTTTATAATTCTGGAAAGCACGCGCCCAGTTCGTATATTCATTCTCGCGATGGTAATTGGGTTTGTGTGTCGGCCGTTTGCGATCGCGCGTCCCGCGCTTCGTGTGCAGTACGTGACGAGCGGATGACTAAAGCCATTATTTCCCACTGATCCATTAGCTCGCGCACCCTTGGCGACGCCGATAAAGCGAGTCCTAATTTTTTTCGCTAACCTGATGTCGCTCGAAACGCGAGTGTATTTTCAGAAGGGTGCGGATTTCCACGCGCGTAGATCGCGTGCGCCACTACAGCGTTCTCAAATCAATTTCGATTAGCCGCCTTGCGCGAATATTTTACCAGCTAAAGTATACGAGCCTGCAGGTCTGAATTTCCAATCTGCAAAAAGCAACTGTAGTGCGCCACCTTGGTAAACACTCGATAAAAAAGGCGTAACAAACGAAGCGAATCAATTCATTACTCTCTCTCTCTCTCTCTCCTCTCTCCTCTCTCTCTCATCTCTCTCCTCTCCTCCTCTCTCTCTCTCTCTCTCTCTCTCTCTCTCTCTCTCTCTCTCTCTCTCTCTCTCTCTCTCTCTCTCTCGTCTCTCTCTCTCTCTCTCTCTCTCTCTCTCTCTCTCTCTCTCTCTCTCTCTCTCTCTCTCTCTCTATCTCAGAGACTGGCGCAGCAGTAAAAACAGACAAGCTTACAAATACAATTTGCTGCAAACAAGAAACTAGGATGCTCTGAGAGGGGAAGAAAAAAAGGGGGAAAAGAAAATGAAGAGTGAGAGAAAAAAAGGAGGGAAGTTTAGCGTGTGAGGAAGGGAGCTGAGTACGTTAGAAATCTCATCAAGTCTGATTGTCTAATTAACTGGGAGGTGCGCGCTCCTTTTGTGCTTGAGCTTTACAGAGAGAAGACGGCAGTGAGGTAGAATGTGGGCAGAGCAAACATGGCGGCGGTGACCCTGCTGATACTCCTTGCCTGGATCTGCATCTCCACAAGCGAGGGTGAGTGCACTTACGATACTCTCTCTCTCCTCTCTCTTTGCTCGCTCGTTCACTTACATACGCACACTAGTCGTGATACTACACGTGCTTAGTGTTGCCGAAGAACTCCCCCTTTTTTCCTCGTTTGGCGAGTGATGGCAATTTCGTCGAGTGCCGCGCTGAGTCTCCTTTTATTCTTTCTTTCTCGTTGTGGAGACGTAGGTACAGTCGATATATGTGCGGGTATTTCGATTGAAAACAAA